AGCAGCAGTGCGCCATTCCCAGCGCGCAATTAGGACGGGCCCACACCCTTGAGCCCAAGCAGCTCCCGGTTCGAGCAGTCCCGCTCAAGCCATCCCGCCACGGTGAAATTCAACCTGCCTTTGTGGGCGTCCACAGAACACATGGGGCATGGCTCACACAACTCCGTAGGCTGCAATCTCTCCGTAGGATAGTAAAAATTGTTACCTGCCGGGAACATCACCTTGAGCGGAAAATTGGCACATGGACCGCGATCAAGCGGGCTGCGGGGTTCTACCCGGATTTTGCCACCTGGTGGCAGTCTCGGACGCAGCGGACCCTTTGGGACCCTGTGCATATCCCGGAAACATGCCCGGATGCCAATGTTCTTGACGCCATCACCGAGGCTCTTGACCGTGAGTACAGAGCTCTCGAGCGGTCTCTCCTGGCGGCTCGCCTTGCGCGTGCCCGGAAGCGCCGAGAAGAGGAGCCATCACTCATCTTCCGCGACCTTGCCAGGGAGCGGGCTAAGCCTGTGGACATCCTTATCAAGCGGCGCACCGCTACTGTCACCCAGGTCAATTCGGATGACTGCTCAATTGTCTATGAGCCGTCACATGCTTTGGATCCAACTCAGCCAGTTCGGGTCCAAGGGGCCCTGGTTGAGCCGGTGCATCATGATACTGATCAGGTGTGGCTGGAGCCCGAACAACTTCCAGCTGTGGGAGACCAACTCACCCAAGAGACCAAAATTGGTTCCCTCCATGATATGTTCCAAGCTTTTGCAAAGGAGTGGTCCGCCAGGTGGAACAAGCATGTGGATGTTCCGCCTGATAGATGGATTGCCCTCGCTGACCTTGCTAGGGACCACATGCCTCCAGTTTGCCAGTCGCTCCCTGCCATTACTGGGGACTCCATTTATCGTGCACCCAGGCGAAAGCGGCGCAAAGCCGCTTCAGGCCCAGATGGGGTTTCCCGTCAGGATATCATGCGCCTGCCAAAGGCTGCGCTAGATCAAGCCGCGCAGCTTCTCACGCAAGCTGAAAGTAGTGGCAAGTGGCCCCAGCAGTTGGTTACCGGTCTTGTGAATTCCTTGGAAAAGCATGATTGCCCAGACTCCGTGGGGTCTTACCGGCCCATTGTGGTGTTTGGGCTCCTATATCGCATTTGGGGTTCCATCAGAGCGCGGCAGCTCATTCAGCAGCTTGCACCGCACATCGATCCCAATGCTCACGGCAATCTGCCACATAGGTATGCGAGCCAAGTGTGGTGGTCCACCATGGCCGAAATAGAAGAAGCCGCGGACCAGGCCAAGCCTTTGTGTGGACTGGTTGCTGACATCACCAAGTGTTTCAACTGTTTGCCCAGAGACCCAGTGTTCGCAGCGGCTGCGCATTCCGGTATTCCGCCGGGAGTCATTCGTGGTTGGGCAGGGGCTCTGACCCTTATGGAGCGACGCTTCAAAATTCGAGGCAGTGTAGGCCCCTCCATCCGGTCGTGCACCGGTTTCCCAGAGGGGTGTGGTCTTTCATGCCTCGCCATGATCCTCGTGAATCAACTCCTTTCGATTCACATGAAGCTCAACTCCCCCACCATACGCACGATCACATACGTTGATAACATCCAGTTTCTGGGGTCGTGTCCTGTCTCAGTTGACCAGGCCGATCAGGCCTTTCGCAGTTTTGCCACCTCCATGGACCTGAGCATCGATGACCAGAAAACATACACTTGGGCTTGCCAGCCAAGACACCGAACCGAACTCCGCAAGGGCAGATATCAGGTCCGCCTTCACGCACGCGACCTTGGAGCCCACATGCAGTACTGCCGGCAAGTTACCAATGCAACTTTGGTAGACCGGGTCCGAGCCGTCAAGCCTTTGTGGACCCAGCTTGCAGTGTCGTGTGCGCCATATCACCGGAAAGTGCTTGCGTTGGCCATTGCCGCTTGGCCCAGAGCGCTCCATGGCGCCTCGGTCGTGCACATTGGTGAGGACCACTTCACCAAACTCCGCACCGATGCCCTTCGGGGTCTGCGTTGTCGGAAACCAGGGACCAGTCCAGTGGTCCATCTAGGACTGGTTGAGAACCCAGTAGCTGACCCCGCCTTCTTTGTCATTCGCGCCACACTACGGGACTTTCGGGCCCATGCCGGTGACCAATTGTGGGTCCATGTTCACTCCCGGGAGTCTAACTGTCGGGTGGGGCCGGGTAAAGTCCTTCTCGAGCGGTTGAAATTGCTCAATTGGGTTGTGCAGCCCGATGGCCTAGTCAGGGATGCCATTGGTGTCTTTCACCTTTTGGACACCCCATGGCAAGAACTCGAGGTTCGCATGCGAAAATCTTGGGGAGAAAAAATTGGGCATCAAGTGCAGCATCGCAAAGGTTTCCAAGGGTTCAACCAGGTTGACCCTCTTGTCGCCCGGAAGTGTTTAGCCGCCCTGTCGCAGGAGGACCAAGCCCTCCTACGGATCGTCCTTACAGGCACCTTTTTCACCAATGATGCCGCCTCGCACATGAACCCCGACCAGCCGCCCCTGTGTGAGTTCTGCCAGGCACCTGACAGCGTGCATCACCGGCACTGGGGTTGCCGGGGTTTTGCTCCCATTCGGGCCAGCCTTCCCGAGGACGTGTTGCGGGATACCACAGCTCCCGGAATGCTGGGCCGTCCGCGGATGGCCTACTGTGCCACCTGATGAGCATTTCTGGCAGCAACTCCTCTGCGCGGCAGGCACGTTGCTGATGCCCACGCACACATGGTGTCGCGACCTGCCCGGTACATCTCCTTTGGTTTGTTTTACGGATGGGTCGGCTTTGTTTCCGACGTGGCCTCGGGCCAGGTTTGCTACCTGGGCTGTGCTTATGGTTGACCAGACCAACCCTTGGTGTGGGGAGATTATTGCTGAAGGCCACCTTGCCGGCCTCGTTCAGACAGCAAGCCGTGCTGAAACGTATGCAGTGCGCGCTGCGTTGGAAATTGCCGTTGCAGCGTCAAGGCCACTCAATGTTTGGACCGATTGCCAAGTTGTGCTCAACAAAGCGCGACGCGTGCAAGCAGGCGATGTCATTTCGCCCAACTCGCCAGACAGTGACAGTGACCTGTGGTACCGCATTTTGCATTGCCTGAATATTCTTGGCCCGTATGCTTTTCGGATCAACAAGGTTGCTGCTCATACTGATCAGCAGCAAGCCCTCAGTCCCCTTGAAGAGTGGGCCGTCAAGCACAACTCCACTGTTGATCTCGCCGCAGGTGATTGCAACCGTCGGCGGTCTGCTGTGTTCTTGGCCACGCAGGCTGAAGTTCTCCATAGCCTTCAAGATGCGGAGCGTCTCACCACGGAGATACACAAGTATTTTGTAGCGGTTGGTAGGCATGCCACACACCTTGCAGCTCGCCAGCATGAGCAGGAACCCGCGCCAGCTGTCGTGCAGCTCAGTCCAGTGCCTCCGCACATACCGATTTTGCAGGCTGCACGCCTGCACAACGTTCGGGCGCGCTTTGGCGCTATTCTTGTTGATGCTGCCTACAGCTGGTGGCAAGCCGCCGTTACCAGTGGTGATTTGTGTTTGGTCACACCAGTCCAACTCCTAGTTGACTTCCAGATGGCTACCGGCCTGCAAGGCCCAGTCCACTGCCCCTCAACTGGAAAGTGGTCCGAACCTACTCTCGCGCCGAATGGTGCTCTCCCGCAGTACAGTGTCCTTCAGAGATCTCGTTGGTTCAGACGCATGCTTGTCGCCGTGTGGAAATCTTTGGGTGTTGTGTATCACACCGGGCACGTCAGACCACGGAGCCTGGTCGTATGCCCGTGGTCTCATTGCTTCGCAGTGTGCTGGTCGGAAGTTCGCTTTCAGACGGTGGACAATTGGATGCGGGCAAATTTGCCCGGAGCTGCAGTGCGCAGGGGGTCTCGTGGGATGCGCAGCCTTCCCCCGGCAGCACTGGTGCCGCACATGTCGGTTCCGGTTCAGCGGGTCGGTCCGCTGGATCGGCTCTGGCAGTAGGGTGTTTCACTTGTACCGCATAGCCGCGCTCGCACAGTTGAGCTCCGTTAGAGCGGATGAATCGAGAAATGGAGAAATGGCGATTTCAGTTGGTGGCTCAATGGTTGAAGCCAAAATGCTCTGAGGCCTGTCCAACCGCGCTGGGCTGGACAAGGCAGGGTTGGTTCAATCAGAATGGCCCTTCCTCAAGGGTCAGAAAGCGCCACCACTCTTTGCAGATTGGCAAATCCTTTTGAAGGTTGGCTGGCTGCTTGCCACCATTATAGACTTTATTGGAGCAATGCCAACTGAGCAATGACTTGGTGCAAGTGTTTAACCTGGAGATTTACTCTGGCTTAAAGCTGGCACAGCCTCAGTGGAAGTCATTCTAACGTCCCGCTCGCTTGGAACCAACTCCTACAAACGATCGGTGGCTCAGGCGTGCAACTAGTCAAACCGTCTGAAACCCACAGGCCCCGTACAAGAGCGGCCCGCAAGCCAACCTGACAATTGCCGAAGCCCCAAATCTAGCACATTTAAGCCCAGATTCAGCCGACCAGCCCCTAAGCCTAATAGGCTGGAGTTGCCCCCACTGCGTTAGATGCCCCCAGAACTTCAAACCCACCTGAAAAAGGGGAGCCCTCAAACATGAACCCGCACCGACACTTCCATGGAGGCGTGTTTTTTTGTTGGTCTGTTCTTATTCTTTGTTGATGTCTTTGCCCACGCAGGCCTCATTTGTGAGGTCCCCCTCTTTGGAGAGAACTAAATTTAGGAATGCAAATGTGGAGCTCGTCACTCCCCAAGCCTGACCCGCAGCCAAAGAAAACAGTTTGTTCCATCATTTGGGGATTTGACTCCCCTGTTATTGTCCACGGTTCCACTCTTCACCAAAGCTAGGGCGCTCCTTTCACTAAGCCTTGGCTATACTTGGCCCCTCGCTGGTCTCAAACCAACACCAACTCGAGGTGAATCTGATCCAGAAGTTACGACTTCCCCAGGCCGCGGCCAAAACCACCGACGCGCCGTGAGCCGAGCGAGGCTCTGGGTGCCCAAGGCTTGGCCTCCTCCACCTGGAGGAGTTCGCGCCAGGCGCCGTCCGCGCAACTCTTGAGGTGCTGCCTCGGATCGATCGAATTTTTGTCCGACTTTAGACCTAGGCACGTGGAAAAAGTGGAGGAGACCCCAATGCCCATGGCCCCGTAACAAGAAAACCTGGCAGTAAACAGGGAAACATGGTCAATTGCCTGGTGGTTGAATTGAAACCACCCAAAAGGGCTGAAGGCAGAATGAGTTGCAGCTGCGCCTCCTCGTCAGGAAGCTGCAAAGGACTCAGGTGCGATGCCAAAGCAACAAGCAGCGGCTGAAGCTTGTGGTCACGGAAAGGCTTGAGCTGCTGCAATACCTGCAACTTGGACTCTGTCCAGTACATTTTCTTCCAAGAGGGTGGGGGGCAGAATCAAATCGCCGGCCCTTAGGCCACCTTTTACTGTTGAATGCCTGCGCGGCCTCTGCCACAGCTCCTAATTTCGGCCATCATGACGCTTGCGGCCACCAAGCGCTCCGGTTGCCAAGAAACAAAAACGCAGTCTTCAACAATTCTTCCGTGCCCTGGCCGGTGTGGGAAAGCTAATTTGGGGATCGCTAAACTAAAAAGCATAGCGGCCTCTACTGACGCTCCGCCGTGGACCAAGCAAGGCTCAGGGCATCTGGTCTAAAGCCACAGTCGTGCCCACTCCGGATTCATCCACCTCCCGGAGCAATCAGAAGCAGTGGCAAGCAGTTCCATAGCAAGGGACCGTCAATGCGACCCCCCGAAAAATAAATAAATCATCAGAACCAACGACCCATGCCGAAGCCGCAGCCGTCTCGGCCTGTCGCAGCAGGGCTCGGATCTCCAGGCGCCGCCAGCTGACCTCGTCGTCAACTGGCCGCCAGGAAGCAAGGGCGCCGGTGCAAAGGAAGGGCACCTTCACCACCGGCCCCGCTTTGTCCAAGGAAAAGCCCTGAGAGCGCGTGGAGAAGATCTGGACAACTCCCAGGACATAGAACATGAAAAGGATCGAAGGGGCAAAACACCTGAGACACGTTTGGATAGGGCACACTTGTGAAAAACAGCTGCATTCGGGCTCCTTGAATACCAAAAAAGCGTTTGCACGTCCGCCTGGCGTGCAAGGTGCACCCATAACTCAGATTGATGGTCCGCTCTTTAGTTGTCACTCTCGAGTGAGCAAACTAGGCAGCCAGAATATTGTCCAATGAGGAATTTCGACACGATAATGTTTACACCATGGTTCCAGGGCATTGGAGGTGAGAATGCATGCCCGTTCTTGGTTATCATTGTCCATTTATATGAGGCCATCAGTGGCACACCTGGCGCTCTGTCAGGAATAACAACAGCCTTCGAAATCGATTGATGGCTGGAACGTGACCAAATAGGTTGCCAATTGTCAGTTTGCCACGGCTTCGTTATCCGGCCGTATGCTCAGCAGTCTTTGGCCTGAGCTGTGCTGTGACTTGACTGCTTCGAAAACCCAAACACGACAACACATATCCCCAAATCCACCATGAACACGCATCGTTGAATCATAGCAGGGATTGGGCAAACCGCCACACATTCTCCAACAAAAGGCGTAGGTGCTCGTTCAGGCTGTCAAACCTCACCACGGAGCTACGGTCCACTGCCTAATTATTTTCTCTCAGTGGCCGTGACCGGATGTGCCAACCCTGCATGCAGTCAATCCTCAGCCTATGCTAACCACAAGGGAATGCCAGGGGGACATAGCCGCCGCAAGTGACATGTTCATGAACTAAGGGCCGGGCATACAAATCTATCGACGACACTGCAGTCTGATCCATGATGCCCCACTACTCTCATGGCACCTGACCGACAAGTGGCCCCTTCAAGGGGACAGTGATCTTCCCCCCCCCTCCAGGTGCAATGTTGGAGGTGCCTAAGCTAGTTGTATGATATATTCATTGTATTTTTACATATATTTATACACCAATGAATATGCATATACATATATGTATATATTTATTTATGTTAGCAAACCTTTGATATGCAAAACAACATCAGAAGATATCCCCTTCCCGGCCTTGTGGAGCTGCACAAAGCTCAGGAGCACCGACAAAGACATATCCCCTGCGGCCAAGGTGTCGTGCGAGGAGCGCAGCAGCAGCCGGGCCGCGCACTCGGTGATCACGTCAGGGCTCCAGGGGTAGTCCCAGGCCCCGAAGTGCTTGTCCTCCTCCTGCAGAAGCCTCAGGTTGAGTCCAGCTAACATCCCACAAGCAACCCTTCTGGAACCCTTTCGCAACCCTGGCCCGCAGGGTGACATCACAGCAACCCCAGAAACCCTTCTCGAAACCCTGGCCAGCCGCTCCGAACTCAGGAGCCTTGAGTCAAGTGGTGAGGATCACATCAACAAGCTCAACATGCATAGACATACGCGCTCACAAGCTCACTGGCAGGATTGTCGTATTCAGACACTCGTGCAATGCCCGAAACTTCCAGAACCAAACATCCCAAGGGCGTGCGAAAGTCCCCTCCCCTTGCCCGAATGAGTTCATCAGCTTGGATATGGCTGGTCCTACCGTGGACAACAGCTGGGAAGCGTGACACCATCTTGTCTGTTTCAAAGTGACCATTTACTAATCCGTTGTACCCGTTCTAGTACCCGGGGCGCCGGAGGGAGGATACCAATCAACTAAGTGCTACAAAACCTCGGGCAGGGCTCCACTTTAACTCCTCAAAGGGGGCCCTGGGTTTCAGTTTGCCTTGGAAAGGGGCAATGTACTCAGCAAGCGCTTATATATGACAACCCTACCCATCCCTACCCCACTTACGGGAATTGCAGGTCGGCGGATTGAAAGCCATGGTTCCTCACCGCAAGTGAATGGCTCGCTGTCCGTTCCGGGCCGCTCGGTTTCCATCTGCGACCTCCGCACCTCGTCCTTCGCATCGAGGTAAAGGACCTTGGGCTGCAGCTGGCAGCCAAGGCTGCGGCACGCGGAGCTCAGGGCCTCCACCTCTTTGGTGAGGCTGGCCGGCGGGTGGTTCCTTGGAGTGAAGGTTCTGCGGACCATAAATTCCAACCCAAACGGGACGGCCAGCATTGGGGGGGACAGCATTGGGGGGTAGGCGACTTGAGGCCGGAGAAAGGCCTGAACTTGTGGAACGACAGCTGATTGCGGGGGCTCAAGGGGAGAATTTGCCAAGGGTCTTGTCCAACAGCAGCAGATGTGGAGGTCCGGCCACTCCTGCCGCCGCCTGTGCCAAGAAGTCGTCGATGGCGCGGCGGTACTTCACCTGGCACTGAGTTGAACCCATCCAAAAGGCATCGATTTCCATTATAGGCATCATTCCAACAGGTCGAGCACGATGTCATCTCAACATGTTCCCTTGAAGCATCACACAAATCGCGACCCCTGCCGAAAGAAACTCAGGGACTGACAGGCCGTCATCTTGGCTGAGAAGACCGAGCCATTTAGCACCAGCCGGGAAATGACGCCCTATAGCTCGTCTTGTCCATCAATATACAGTACGGCCTATTTAATATCATAAAGTTACCCATGTCAACTCCACCGACCAGCTGCCGCCTGCGCGCGCCGGCGGCAGCTGGCCACATCCTCTGAGGATGCGCTGCCCAAAAGCTTCAGCTCGACTCCGGTGAAGGCGTCGCCTAGGAGGCGAAAAAGGCACGGGGGGGGGGGGGAGACACCGTCATATACGGGGGACACCCACTGAACCGGTGGTTTTCGTTTTTGTTTCCCTTTCAAGCACCCCCCCCCCCCCGACCCCCAAGGAGAAAGACAAAAACCAACCTTGGTAAAGCGTGTGTGGTACACGGGTTTTTCTCAGTGTCCGTCTAGACTCTTTGCTTGGGACCGTGTGAGGTCTGGCGGGGGGGACACGTTTCACCCCAAAGTAACGCATACCGAGAAGTGAGGAAGCGACATATCAACAATCACAACAGCGTGGACCTAAGCTGACGGAGAGCACGATTCCTAGATGAATTCAGTGAGGGGTCTGGAGTTGACTTTGGCTGCTGGCCACAAAAGAAGGGCCGGACAACGGCTAACATTGACGGCGCCCCATTCCAGTCACACCCATAAGGCTGGCAAATAGCAAAGGTGGCTGGTCTGCTGTAGCAGGGAAGCTCTCAAACAAACATCTCGCGGCTTTGAAATTGGCGAAGGCCATTTCAAGAGAGAAGCACATGTGAAACATCCCAGTTGCTAGAGACGATCGCTGCTGAGGCCAGTGTGCTTGTTGTTGGGCTGGTGGCAGCTTCAGCCCTGTGTACAGGAAGTCCCTGTCGAAAACACTTGTCGGAAGCTTCCTGGCAACGTCGGAATAATGCCTCCAGCAACGAGCTCTTGCCCATGCCTCGGCAAACGCTTTCAAGCTGTCTGACATTGACCAAGCCACATGTCACTGAAAACCGGCGAACTCCCAATTATATTGACCAGCTCTCCGGCATTGCACTTGCCAGCGGCAAGACTGCGCAACCCAATGTCTGTCGTTTCTTCGTTTGTCACTTGCTCGAGGCTGGCGGACCTGCAATCATTGCAATTGTCAATAATTGTTAACGTGAACGAACACCCATCGCTGCACACCATGGCAAAACTGCAAAAAGAAGCCAACCCCCAACACACACGCATTGCTGCGATCATTTGTTCTTCACCGCCACCCTCCCCTCAGAATTCCTCCCCTTCCCGCGCCATCGCGCCTGGCACGGCCAAGGGGATCACCGCTACCACGGTGGGCAGCTGCTCCGGTTGCTGCGCCCGCGCCCAGGCGCCTTCGATGGCCGCGGAGCTGAAGCCGCTGGAGCTGAGCCACAGGGAGCCAGGCACCCGCGCGTGCAGCCGCACGGCCTGGGCCTTCGCAGCCAAACCGAGCTGTAGAGGGTGTCTTCGGGAGGGGGGGCTCGGATTCGGATGGCTCTGCAGATTAGTCAGAAGTTGATGTTAGCCCACCCGGTTCTGACACAAGTGCGAATGTCACAATTAAACATCATGAATGTCCGCGTAGACAGCGCAAAGTCTCATTTGACACGGTCCAGATTTCGCTTCCCCTGCTAAAGAGCTGCAAGCATCTTGTGAATGTCTGTCATAGCAGCGCTGGTGAACTGGGAACAGTGGCATCAAAGCCTCGCTTCAAGCACGGAAGTCAATGAGGCTGTCCAAGCAGCACTTAAGTGTAATTAACTTGCCGAACTCTACTGCCAACGGGCGTATTCAACTCGCAAGCCAACTCCAATCTCTATGATCTATGCTAGTGGCAGAGTGCCTGATTCCATGCCAGGAGTTTGCTTGTGCTTGCCTGTCCACAGAAAGCTCGTCCGTAACTTGGTGAATAGACCATCCGCAATTATCATGCAAAGATGGCGTGATTAATGAACAACTGTTCAGAAAGGACAAGGACATGATTGTTGCTTGTGAAGTTGTATGTAGTCCTCGCATTTCGCGTGCTGAACTGCACCAACCAAAGCAATACACAAACTGTCCCTCTCATCATCATACGAACCCCCTGCTCTCTAACACAGTACATGAAGCTCATCGTATTTACAAAACGGTATGTGTATCTAAGCGGGATTCTTCAAAGGACACCCCCACCAATGATCAACCCTCAGTTGGTGGTTCGAATTTGTGGTTTGGGGATTTGAACCCCAGGCTTTGGTAGAGGGTTTTCTGGGAAACCCCTCCTATAACCACCAAACCACCGAAATCCAAACCACCAATTGGAGGCCTGAAGAAATGAATCGAACTTCGATTGAAACACCAAAACAAGTAGCGGCCTCAAAATGCCCGAGGTCTTTCAGCAACCCTGAATTGGTTCTAATAAATCGGTGTTAGTCTTCTACACACATGCTAGCCCTGTGGGAATCCAGCCAAACACATGACCAACTTTCCTGAACATGACCTGGGCTTATTGAGTCTCCCCCTATGTCCTCCCGAACTCAAACCGCAGACATAGCAAGCGTGTGTCTCAAAATTGCAAGGCGCCCAAAGTTTGGCGGGTTTCATTTTGGTAACCTTCAGCCAGCCCAAACAAGAGTACCCTCAAAACAAACAACAAACGCGTTGGACTCCTGCCTGAAGCTTCTTCAGAAAGGCCCCCGAGGCGGGTTCCCGCAGCTTCCTCTCCCAGCGGGTCAGCGGCTGAGTCTTCGCCATCGGCTCACCCCAGCCGCAGAAAATGAAAAGGCACCGACGGCTGTAGGAGCTGGCGATACCTATCTCAGCTTTTGGCCCCTAAGAATACTCTGTTCGTCTGCCTGATTCTCGCTCTTTAGCCTTCAAGTGAAAAAGAAACAGAGAAAGCATCCCAGATACGCTGCACGCCGTGACCCCGGCGTTCGTCCACGGCTTCTCTGGCCAAACGCCTTCGCTTCGCTGCAGGTTCCGCCGCGCCCGAACCCGAAGCGCCTGCACCGCCGGGAAACAGCAACCTCTCCAGGCAGTAGGGCACGTGATTCAGAAAAATCCGGGGCTTCGCGGCGGTGGAATCCTGCCATGCGCTGGTCAAATTGCCGGTGTCGAGGCTGGGCAGGCTGCCTGGCATGCCTCACTTGCCCAACGTAGGATTCGTCACCCTCCCCCTTTGGATAGTGGCCAATTCCGGGAAGCAGGGCACCTTTTTTGTGCTCATTCGCACTGGGGGATCCACGAAAAAGGAAACGTGCACCTGCAACGGGCGAAACAAAGTGAAGCAAAGCTATGTACAATTAAAAAACCTTCAAGGGAAATGCAACGACCCTGACTGAACTGAGATGCTCTGAGCTTTCATCTTAAGCAGCTGCTGCAGGCTTTGCAGAAGCTCCGGGGCAGCAGCGAAGGGCGGGGCCACGACGCACACCGCCGGCGCCGGCTTTCGGGGGGTGTACTTGCCGTCGTAGGCATCTGCACGTTGAGCCAAGTGCAGGAAATTCTCATCGACCCCTTCAGGCGGGATGTCTTCAGCATAGATCAAGCTGCACAGCTTCTCCAGGGTACGAACCTGCACAAATAACTGGAGACATGGAGGCTGAGATGAAAGCAACTCGCCAACATGGCAGGCAAACAACTGCCATACTGAAGCCATTGTCATGGCCAGAGCTAAGGCCGAGCTGCTTTGGTTGACACCTGCCTACATATGGGGTTGTGTTCTTGTTGCGGGTATATTAAAGAAATGGGGCTGGCGGCTTCAAAAGGACACCTGGGACATCCGCCATTTCACGGGACCTGTTCTGAGCCACACCCACGGAGGCCACCAGCCACCCAGCCCGTAAGACACGCCTTCTCCGTGGCCAGCGGCTCCCCGACGGCCAGTGCCTCGCGGCGGTAGGAGTCCAGCACCTCCTGGAAATCCCACAAAAGCTTTGATTTTTTTGCGTGCATCCCCGTGGAAAACCAAGAATTTATATGGGTGTTTCCTTCTGAAATTGACGGTGGTCTTTTTCTATCTTGGGATGGAAACCACTGGAAAACCGCAATGGCTGGCGTCTCCCGCTCTTGGCACATACCCAGATGGACTCTCTGACTCTCTGCTCTGGACAATTTGTAAATTCACCCTTGCCAATGGACACTGCATCCATTTTGCACCCCCCCCTTACAAACACCGCACAAAAGGGGTATGCACATGTTTTATTCCACATGCCGCAGGCGTCCATAGGTCTGCGAAGCCAAAGAGGCTGATCCCCATTTCTATGACTACTTTCTCTGTTTAACGGGGGGTCCTCTTGGTAACACAGAACGCCCCAGCCAAGTGTTCCACATGGCAGGGGCGGAAAGGCCCGGCTTCGAACTCAGGGGGGGGCATGCCCCAAACAGGGAACAAGCGAATGTGACTAAGTGTGTGTGTGTGTGTGTGCGTGTGCATATGAAGGAGGCTGCTGAACAAGGCACTTGCGAAATGAAGCTGTGACAAGAAGTTCGGTTGTATTGTACAGTAATTGGATAACATGAAGCCTTCAGACATGTCAGGATGATTGACAGATACGGGTTGATACCCAATCAGCTCAGTGAGTGAATGGCAAGCCGATAGTAATCTATGCTGGTAGCAATGCGTTGAATGTGTGTCCTTCATCAGTAAGACGGTGCATTCAGAAGAATGGTTTTCCAAAAGAAGGATCCCTGCACAGAACGGGAACTTACCCGGCCCTAGATTTGAGCCTCGGACAATATGACTTACAGATGACGGTTCAAGGAGGTATGCCCCTTGTGTTTGGAGAAGATACGGGATATTGGGTAGGCCCTCCACGTCCTCTCCAAATCAACAGGCTACAAGTACTATTGTCCGCTGCTCCTATGACTCGAACTTCTTCGTCACCACAACCTTAAAGAACGTCCTCCACCAGCACGCACCCCCCGCTGCGTGCGAAGTGCTTGGCCCTCTCCCGCATGCGCCGCAGCAGGCGATACTCCGCGGTCTTGAGCTTGCCCAACCAAACCACCTAACAAGTGGAAAGGAACACACGCCTGATTGCAGGTGTGCAGATTGTTGCTGAATGATTTACCTGGAATCACTCCTGCGCTGAAGACTGAGCCCCAACCAAGGCCAAACTGCTATCTGTTGCGCTGAGAGTCGGAGCTGCCGATGTCCGAATGGGCCGTCAGGTAAACAACGTAACCCTCGCCCGCTTCCGCCATCGGCGCTTTCTCCGTGCAGGTCGCTTCAAACTGCAGGGTCTCCTGTGGGGCTATTGCCCCAAGCGCAAAAACATAACTCTTGGTTGGCTATGGGAAAATGCCGGGCCAGACTTCGAGAAAGCCAACTGATTGCTAGTTGAGAGGGGAAAGGAAGGAAAACCAAAAAGGCAAACAGCTGGAGCCTGGCAATACGCACATGTTCCCATGTTCCCAACAAGTCAAATAGCAGCGTCTCCATCACATCGCGGGCATTGGCGAAGCCTTCTGTAGGGCCCAGCACTTTGCCCGCAACGCCGGGCAAGCCTACATCCGCCTCGGAAATTCAAGCCGCCCTCCGGATGAACACGAAACATCCAATGTTGACAGGGGACCATGGGACCCCCAAAAGTGGGTCCACGTTGAATCTGCGGGGATGGGTTTGCACCGCTTGTGTCCAAGGCTCCTATGGCTGGGCTCCCTTTTCCCCGCCAATTCTTCCCAAGCATGTGGCAAAATCTGTGCAAGCTGGGTGCATTTTGTAGGGGGTCTGCAAACAAAAGCCAAAAAACGCTTCGTCCCTTTAATTTCCTTTTAGTAAGTCAAACAACATGGTTACTAAGATGCCCCCCAAGGCCAGGCCAGCCGCGCCCCAAAGATTGGTGCATGTTCAAGGCGTCCTGTCCAAACCTGTTTTGGCTCTCTCTACCCCCCGCACCCCTCGTAAGCCAAATCAGTAACAACAAACAGCAACCATGCGAAATCAAGAAGCGGCAATCATCGAGATCATTTAAATACGGCGAATTGTAATTTTAAAGGTCAACACCTGCTGCAATTCGGTTTTGTTCTGTCTAGGCTTCCTGCCCCTGGCTAAATGTTGAAGCCTGGCAAAATTGCACTGACCAAAAAACACGTGCCCCTTGTGGTTTGAACGTGGGTGCCAGCGCGGTGGGACATACCTGCCACACACACACACACACACCCCTTGGAGCACCACGAAAACGCTGGCAGTGCAATGTTTGGGCGCCACGACCCGTTCAAAACATGCTTCTGTAGAAAGCCCTTGCCCCACGGTATCCCAACAAAACTATGCGAGCACACCATGACTGGCCCGGACTGCTTTCAATTTGCAGCATGCGAAGACTGATCCTTGTGCAAGGCCGTGGTTTCTCCAAAGTGAATCGATTGCGGGCCAAAGAGGCTGGATTCGTTCAAACTAGAATTCTGAACCCCGCTCCCCTCGAAGTGAGCACGTTCCTCAAAAGTGCAACAAGTCAATGACATCCCACTCATAACTTACAAGTCTTCGCATTATATACAGTATATATATATATATATATACAAATAAGCTTTGGGACAAGCCGAAGCCGAGCCCAAAAAGTGGCTAGCTTGCTGCCGGGCATGGCGAGGCGCCAGAAAGGCCCGGCACGCTGCCGGCGCCCAGCAGGGCTCAACGCCATCGTGTGGCACCAAAGCAAACCATCGCAGCCTCTTCTCGGGTCCGTAGTCGATGAGGTGAGCCCCACTGCCTGGCGGCCCCAAAGTCACCCCAAGCAACTCCCAAAATGCCCAAAATGGCCCCCCCACGTCACGAAGGACTCAGATAGATGAAACGTGGAGGTGTTTTTGGGGGGTGGGGAGTGTAAGGCGCAGCGTGATTCAGCTTCCCCCTAATTGGTGGTTTGGAGGCTAGGGAGTGGTTTTGCATTTACTCTCCACAGGAACCAGGGGTTCAAATTCCAAACTACTATTCCAAACCACCAAGTGTGGATTACTGGAACACGCTAGGGCTTTGGCTCGTGCGTAGACAACTCCCCTGAAATCCGCGATGATGGTTTGGGGTCTTGACAAGGGGGGACCCTACAAAGACCTTTTTTCAGGACCTTGCCGACCTTGAAGGGGGGAGGAGGATGGTTATGAATCAGGGGTAAGCATTCATCCAGTGATCTCGGAATGTCCCCAAGCATGGTTCGTTCTTGCTAGATGGGTGCCCGACATAAGTACCACAAAACATTATTTGGAGACTATTCCGAAAGGGAACAATCAACTCCGTTTCCAAGGACACATAAATGGTCAACCTTTCGAAAGCATGACCAAAAAGGGGGACCCTCAACGGCCAAAAGGCCGGCTTTGGGCAAGAGTCAAACATGATGCCCTAGTATCCCAGTTGCGGGTGGACAATCTCTGGTGAGGATTTCACAAAACAAGAAGGGAATTCAATTTTGGTGATGTTAAGTGGGCCATCCCCATGGCACGTTCCTCCGGGGTGAAGTCATGCTGGCTAAGTTAAGGGTGCAGTAACGGGGGCATCGTTTAGCATGATGGAACCGAGTCTTCCCAAGAGGTCCTGAGGTTCCATGTTGGTTTGGGGGAGTGTAACCACAAACACATCTTGTCCCCTGTGCCTCCAATCATCTCCCCCACCAGCGTGCCGCTGCCTAGAGCCTCCCGCAGCCTCGAACCAGCCGCCGGTTCCTATGGCAACTTTGGCAGCTGAAAACTTTCCCTGTGGATACCAGATACCACAATAAGGCACCCAAATATAGGTGTCTCTTTTTTGGGGCGGCGGCTATGTTCGGGTTGGATTGAAGGGAAACTAAAAGCGAAACCAGCCATTTGTCGGAGTCCTCGCAAAAAAAGAAAAAGAACAAGATAAAGACACATAACATGTTCCTTCTAGATGCTGCTCCAAAGGCGAGTAGTCTTGCAAAAGGGGGTTGTTCACTTCCATGATTGTTGGTAGGACTATCTTTGAGGTTGCGAACTTGGCTGAGGTCCAAGGTCAAGCAAGTCTTAAAACTCCGGTTATGAGACCTTTTGGGGCTGGAGCCGAAACGGGCCAAACCCAATACCGAAAGCGTTTCAAGGCCTAGGCAAAAAAAAACACCAGCACCTAACGGCTATCCAATATCTAAAGTACGTTTTGGTGGACGTCGAGGACAATTTGATTCAAATTCACACCTGGTCGTGCGTTTGTTTTTTTACGGGAACCCTCCTCTTTTGTTGGCAGTCAAACGGAAAACGGCCACAAGGAGACCCACCATAAAGGTTCCTTCCGCCCATTTTGGGACACCTCCAGCCAGGTGCCAACTGCTTCGCTTCGCTTCGCTTCGCCCGAGGCTCCAAGGACTGGAGCTGGGCGAACCACAGCTGCCCGATCTGGCGGGCGAAGCGGTACCTTCGGTCCGCCCAGTGCGGCAGCTCCAGCTCCGCAGAGGTCCCGGCCAGGATGGACACGTTCCTTGGGCGGAAAAAAAGGGGGATCTGCAGCCAGCAAGCCTCAAAAAGAGAGGCTTTTTTAATTGGCATAAGCATTCTTGCAAAAAACAACAAAGCATCTCTGAACATGGCTGAAAGTGGCCAGCGCAACTCCTTGCTGGCCATATGTGCCTATAATCAAGATAATGATGCGCTCACACAGCTGCAAATAGGGGAAGCCCCCCAAGGAGTGGCTTCTGTGTGGGATCCTCTCAAAATGACTCCAGAAAGGGCGGTACCCTTTATAGAACATGTCCAGCCCCAAGACATCCCAAGACACATCCAAAGGGCTCTCTTTTGTGTACCTGTTGCACATCACGCCACCCTAACCTCCAAACAACGAGTCAAACTAGCCGTAACTAGCCGGAACTAGCCCAAACAAGTAGAGGCTGAAAGAAAGTATCAAGCGGCTGGCAAATGGTCCATTGTCGCTTTTGCCGGTTGTTTGGCGCTTGAATTCCCTCCGGCTTGCTTATTCTGCTCACCGATCGACGTGTCGATTCCGAAATTGACCATGGTCAATGGGTGGGTGCAATATGGTGCAATCATCATACGTTCTGTGGATGGTTGCGAAATAGTGCCAACCAGTTGTCGAGGTTGCAAGGATTGCGTTTCACTGAGTCACATGGGGGCAATGGGAGAAACATGACGTTACACTCTGCTTTGCGGCTGGCTCGCGCCTCATAAAGCGGAGCCTCAGGTAATTACCCACCTTCGACGGACAGGTCTGGGGTGTTCCGACATGCACTGGAGAGGTAACCCAGGTCAAGCAACACGGCGGTCATTTGAGCTGGGGCCCGTCAGGCCCGTCAGTAAGTACGCCGGGTGTCTTGGAACAAACCACCCATTGTCCCGTGGCAGTATGGTAGGAGACCTGGGCATTTTCGCCGTTGGCCTTCTCCAACCGGGTCAGCGAGATACGGCGGCCCTCGGAGATGCCTTGAATGCTGTCACTCAAAGATTTGGCCACAGACTGCGCCATCTTCGACTTGCTCGAGTTGCAGCCCTCCTGTGTCGGCAAACAAAAATCAGCGGAGTCTCAACATGGGTACTTCGTGGTCAGCACAGCATCACTCAATCTCGGCTGAGAAACGTCGAAAAAAAAGCAAAACAGCAAAGTCTGGCCGTCTATCGTACCAACGAGGTGACAAGATGCCAAAGGCAAAGGCGCAGGGGTCCTTGCTGTGTCTTCAGTTGAGTCATCATGGTTCAGCTTCAGGGTTAGGAAAACAAAGGGTATACCACTATTGGTATACATCCTGGTTTGCCCTGGTGGTGGAAAAGGTGCTTGGGGCAGTCGCTCTATGTTCACTCGCGGGAAGCACTAGCTGGCCACCACCAGCCACTACCTCCCTATGAAAGCGGGATGAAAGTGTGTTCTTGTGGCCTTGTGGTCGGGATTTGGGCAGGGTAAGGGTAGTCCATGTCCATAAGTCACAGGAACGCCTAAGCCAACCGGTGGAACGCCACCGACTTTTACGTCCAACTTCCGAGGCCTCCAGGGGCGCCGCCTCGAGGTCGAAGAACTTCGGCAAGCCCCGACGCACCAAATCCACCCGCGAGTCGATCTCTACGAAACTCAGACCACGGCGGAGCTTTTGGATCCTGAAGCCAGGCGCTCGGAGAGCGTCAGGCAGCGGTTTTGCAACGGAAAACCGCATGCCCGGAAGCTTGTGTCTCTAAGAGGGAAACTTGCGCAACTGATCGGCCAGTCACCTGGCGACTCTGATCGAAAAAGGGGCCCGGTTTTGGGCCTGGCTTGACCATAGTGAGGAACCCAGCAGAACAGGAACAACATTTCCGCGAAGCTTTGTTGTCCGGTTGATATATGGCATGGATAGCTGCAGTCTTTGTTCAACAGCTCATACCTCCAGGGGTAAATAGGGGTAATTCGCGGTGAATTGCCACATATCCCGCCCAAGTGAAAAAGGCAGCCCCTACAATGTGTTTGAACTCTTCCCCGCGCCATGTGCTGTTTATTTTCAACATTTTACACCTAGACATGCAATTCAGAAGCGCTGGGTAGTTGACAGACAGTTCAGAACTTTTGGATGTTTGATGCAGCTTTCAGTCAATTCAAGTTGAAGAATACGTCGCGTTTTGGCATTTATCTTACAGGCTTGTCAATCCCGGGTCAACAGGGTGGATTTACAAGCCAGTCGGATACTGGAAGGAGTGGTTTCCGCAAACATTGATCTGCATCCCCTTACGGGATGCAAACCCCTGTTGGAAGCGTGTGATTTCAACTTAACCTCTGCTTTTGCCAATCCAACATGTTGCATGATTCTGGGCCACATGCCATAATTACCGAGCCTTAAAATGTGTACGGAATTCTTCCGGTCCCTTAAAGTGAACAGCTTGAGGGGGGATTCCCTTTAAGCCACCGTTTTACAGGGTCATCGAATGAGAACGTCACTCTGGAGCCGCCAAGTCGCAGGCTGGGGTCTTCGGCGAAGAGCGCATCCTCCGCCCGCCCGCGCAGCCGGCTTCGGGCCAGCGCGGCGTCATGGAGCAGCAGGCCGTTCGGGAAGCCAGGCCCCGAGGTGGGGATCCTCTCGCACCCACCCTCCCGAAGATGGAATGTTGTGTTCCAGTCGTGATGCTTGCGTGTGTGTTTGCTCTCCCTCTCTCTCTCTCTCTCGCTCTCTCTCTCTCTCTCTCCTTCTGCTGTCTTGAACCCCGGCTGTTGCTGCCTGTTTCCTGCTGTGCGTGGCAGTCACTGTCTGGCCGACGCTACTTGAAGTTGGGGGGTGGATTGCTTCAGTCTTAACACATTGGCACATTTGGACATGCAGGGATCAAAGTTCAGTGCACGATGGATCGCTACAAACAAGCGGTTCAAATGCAAGGTCCAATTCAGGCACATTCAAGCATGCACGGTTCAGTGCACGTTAGATTGCTTGAGACATGCAATGTTGCCACATTTGGACGTGCTTCAGTATCCAAAGCGCGAGCCCATCCCGGCTTCCCTGATCCCCTGTTTTGGTTTTGCTGGTTCCTTACATGCCCCTCAAACTTGGTGGCCCGGCTTTCTCCAAACAAGTCATTACCTTCTCCAAGGTTAACCCTTACATGCCCCTCAAATTTGGTGGTGCAAAAAAGTCATTGCCATTTCCAACGAATACCCTCGGGGTTCACTCCAGACTTCCTGCTCGCGACTGGCGACCCTCCTGCGGCTCACCAGATGCACCAAAGGACTCGCCTGCACCCAGCGCCATAGCTCCATTCCATCGGCTCCGTCGGCCCCATCGGCCCAAAAACGCTGAGCCCAGACTCGACAGAAAGAAAGAAGGTAAGAGGAGCCAAGGGCCTCCATGCAGCTGCCAGCCTACATGCGGAAAAAAAAAAAAAGAACTATACATGTGCCATACGTACAGGTGCTATACTTGATGACCGCCGGCGCGTTGAAGATAACCATGCTTCTGACTTTGAGTTCCCCCGCATAAATCTGAGCGAGGTCAGCGGTGCTCACAAAATCCGCTTGCATGTCCGACCCATGTCGAGAGCATGTGCGGACGAATGGGGGCCCTTGGCTTCTCGGAAATGCATAGGAATGGCGTTTTGCGACATAATTTTGCCTTTTAGGTGGTATGCACTCGGCACCCCTGGTGCTCCGGGCCGAAGGCAAATGGCCCAAAACATCCTAAAACAAGAAGAGGCGAGGCAGCTCATGGTGCACTTTTCAAACATACCTGTCAGCTCTAATTGGTGGTTCGGTTTGGTGGTTGGTGGCTTGGTGGCTTGGTGGCTTGGTGGTTCAGCAGAGGTTTCCGAGAAAACCCTCTACAAGAACCAGGGGAAATCCCCAAATCACCAATCCAAGCCACCAGCTAAGGGGTATACCTGAACCTGGATACCAAAGTAAGAGCATCCCGGCAAAAAAAAACCTGGCCGTGGATGTTAAACGCTTTTGCGATCAAAGGCCAAAGGCAAGTCGGGTACAGGAAGCTGCCGGTACCCCGAACCTGGCTGCTTCACACAGCAGGTCCCCCCTCAACAGTTAATTAGTCAGAAAGAACGAAGGTACCTCATATACCAGAAGAAACACGGACAACATGCGCCCTCCAATCTATTATAACTTGTCAGTGGACTGTGCGTGTGTGCGTGCGTGTGCGAGTGTAGGTTTGTCGCCTTCCATCGATGGGAAATTACCAGGTGATCGGGGCTCCGCGGGCTTGCGCCGGCGCCTGCTCCTCCTCCAAAATACGCTCCGCCCATGCAGGCGAGGTCTTCCTGAGGCTTGCGGTAGACGGGACTAACGAATGAGTTGGCGCTTGGTGCGTTCTGCGCTTGCCCTTGCGCCGTCTTGCGGGACCTGCGATGTTTGACTCGTGTTGTTTGATGAAAAGGGTAAGCGGAGAATTGAAAAGAAAAGAAAGGAAAGGGCAAAATATGGAAAGATGGGCCTCCAACGAAGAAACGTTGGCTATTTGCAGCTCCCTGAAATTCTCAAGTGTTCTAATTAGTTCAAGTTTGAAAAGCAAGTTGCAGCAAGATATTCTAAACAGCCACGGGTGGATGTGTCATCTCCAGCAATCAGGGGGTCCTCATGCGCCCTCTTGCAAAACCGGCCAAATCCAACTAAGTTCATGTAAGGTCCTGTGATGCTAGCACTTTCGCACTCACCTGTGCACTGTCTTGCGCCGTTTTTGTTCTGTGTTTCCACAACGTACATCTTAAAAGTACGCTGCCACTGCAGACTAATCACTCAGAAGCAGCGCCCTTTTCAATCAACTCTCACATGAACTTGGGCTGTTACGGGAGTTGAAGCAGCTTGCTTTTATATTGGCAGCACAGCACTCCACTCAAGCAAATATCAACATTTTCCTGAACAGCCGAACTCCAACGCCTAAAGGCAATCACGCACAGATTCGGGACATCCCATTGCTACCTTTGCGCACTTACCACAAGACTCAATAATGATATGGATATGTCTCCAATTACAAGAATCCCCACTCGCAACAGAGATTATTTCGTTGTTGTTGGGCATGAAGCAGCCAGACCTTGCACGGGTCATACCGAGTCATACCCATTTGTTCACTTCCCGTTATTCGACAGGAAGAGCCTCGCTGATCCACGTTTCACTCGATCTGGCTGCTAAAAAGAAAATTGTCCGGATTACTGCTCAGCTCAAAGGTTCCCCCCCACCAACACACCCGCACTAAACCCCAAAACGGAACTATGACGCTTAGGTCACTCCTTAAGTTCTTCATTGTTTAATCGTGTGTAATCCCTATTTACCTCTTTGTTTACCCTTATTTGGGGTTTGCGCCGAAGTGTATCAGGGGTGCAGTGGCCAAACCCTTGACAAACACTTAAAGCCCAGCCAACGTTCACAAAGGGGACGAGTTGAAACCCAAATGTTGGATACGTTGCCCCCAGGGCTTTGATTGCCTGCTGAAACAATCAGGCGAAAGGCTAAGCGGCAATAGGCGTGAGCCACACACACACAACACTGCATTTTGCCAATGGCATTTGGCCCTGATTCCCATTATCCAGGGAAAGCTAATGCAAAACCTGACATGACAATGCGAAACCTCTGACCACCTAATGTTACCTACAGTGGCAGCTGGAAGCGTTGGGTGTCAGTGTTGAGTTCCAACGCCAGGCGTCGCCCCGCAATGCAGCCCAGACACCAGGAATTAGCCAGATTGCGCATATCGTTTTCCGAGAGCAGCTCCTTGCCCACCTTCTGCGCGCTCTCCAAAACGTCGTGGATCCAGCCTCACACTCGGTTCGAACGAAGCCCAACATGGAGCATGGGGGAACTTGGTCCCAGATCGCCTGAGCTCCCCGGAAGACGCCCAAGCCTTTCCAGGTGCACATCCTGACTCTCCCTGACTCCAACGGTGCATGGGACTGAACCACCGGCGTCCTGGGGTACCCACTTTTCTAGGCTGGGTTATTGGCAGCAGCCGGCTATCAAATGGAGTCACTAAGTGTAAGGCCCCAAGGTTGACTTGGTACCCCTTTGGCAAAAATAAACCAAACAGGGTTTGTAGCTTTTGCCCAATGATTGAAACAACAGCTTTGCTGCACAACCTGATGTGGCAAAAACCAAATGCACCACGTTGCAGCATCCAAAGCTGGTTGGCTTCCCTGGCTATTTCTGGATGCCGCCCAAATGTGTTTCTGCATAGTAATATTGTGGGCATAGAAACTCCCAACTACTCTCAACCAGCACCAGCCAAAGCGCACCGAACCCTCCGCGCCATTCCAACCTTGTTGCCTGGCGGCGATTGTGCTCGTCATGCTCCCCCGCCGACTTCTCCACGCGGTAAATCTTTGTCACCGCAAAAAGGGCCTCGGGCCATCTGTGACCCTTGGCATACCTCCAATTCGGGCCATAGGAATTGGAAAGGAACTCAAGGGCAAGCACATGGAGGACGGAAGGGCTCTGCAACCTAAAGACACGCACGTGATAGTTGTCTGTTGTGAGCAAAGAGGTGCCATTATCCATGCGAACACGCAACAGGTTTTGTGTCTGAGACTGAGACTGCAAACCGTAGTGACTGCTCAGCTTTCACAAGTGGGAAATCAAACGGGTGGCCGCACTTTGTGCGAGAAAGGACCCAGGGCGACAGCCCTATGAACTCCCGTACGAATCGGCAGTCATGCATGCAACAAGGTTGCCTTGCAAGCAAGGAACCTTTTTGAATGACTTGTTGTTTTGTTCTTCGATTCCCAGACACTGGTACCAGACATGGCGCCTTTTTCTAGGCTAGTTGGTGAAACAGGGAAAGCCGCCCAAACAGATTGACTAATATCTGGAGGGCTAGGTTTCACAATTGCTCATATCCAATCGCAAATCCACCTCATCTTTTCTTCTTCTTTTTTTGTGGGGGGGGTCCACTTTCAAACCTTTGACACCCAGCCTAGCATGAACGGCAAAAACAAGTGGCACCTACGTTCATGCTGGACATGCTGGGGTACACCGAGAAAAATCACTCCTACTGAACAGCTGGGAAGGCTCAATAGATCCGTAAGCGAATGCAATGCACCACCTGAAGTACACGTTTCCCAAAGCAAGGCACCAACCCAATGCCGACATTTGGCCTAGTGGCTTGACCAATGGCAAAGATGCTCTTTGGAAATGCCAAGGTCCTTCCTCTAGTCGCTGTGAGTGCGAGGTCAGAAGCTTTTCTGATTGCATGAGTTGTGCAAGTCTCGGTGCAAAGTCTTGATCGCAGTTGTAGCCGTTGTTTGTATTGCAACCGTTCCCCTGCTGGCCCTGACGGCAGGCTCCTTTGGCACAATCCAGTCACTAGCGCCCCCTGCCATAAGTGTTGAAGCTTTGCGGAATCTCATCTGTTCCTGGCGGTGCCCGGCCATTCCCGAACTCCCCAACCTTCCCTCCTGCAATGGAAAGCACAATGAATCAACATGGTCGCGAGTCGAAACATGGTCTTGCTCCATCAAACGGTGTCCTCTGTCCTTCTTTCAAACCTCGCTTTCGGTGGTCACCGAGTTTAACACATGCCCCTGTGCCTAGAACAAGCAACCTTCCCAACACCGACGGCCTGCAAAGGTCTACGTGCAAAGACGGAACAGAGACAAAAAATACAACATCCGCAAACCGCGCCCACCGGAGCCGTAAGCACGGTCTGTGGTCGAGGCTGGTGAGAGGAGGGCGTTTCTGCCCGCTGCTTGAAGACCAAATGAAGCGGCTGACCATCCCAAACTTAAACTGACCCCAAGCAATCCATGCAGTTGCTGGAATATGGTGACCGCGGCAGACATGCTGAAGGAGGCCAACAATGCAACAATGGGATGCCAAGCCATTTCAAGCGGACCGGTCCTCAGGAAACTCGATGAGAATGTGAGAGAGCGAATCCCGACTCAGGCTCATGATCTCCTTAGACGCATGCCGGGCTCAAGCAGAGGGCACAGTTGAGCCATCGGCAAAAAGGATGGCCCATGTCGAGGAGACAATGTACGTTGAGACCATACGTGTTCCCGATTCCAATTGTGACTCAAGCTCGTAAGTCAATGCTTCACCAAAGAGGTACCGACCTGCTTTTGTGTTTTCTGGAATCCCCCCAAAGGAAACTATGGGCTTCTCCCCCAAGGCCTACAGGAGCGCGATCCACCCGGCGCCCAAAGCGGGATCCCCCTACTCCGAGGCCCATGGTCTGCCGCCCTTTGCATGGCCTTCTCCCGGGTGCCAGGTACTCTTCGGTGTGCTGAATCCGTGAGTCACTGGGGGCACGTCAAGTTTCTTCAATTGGAGGGGATCCATGTTGCAGGAGAGCACTAAGGAGAAGCTGGTCCAAGGGTCATCAACTGGCCAGCCATGCAGAGTTCGGGCACGCTCATCAGGCCCAATCCACCCCTACACATTGCACACCATAAGCAATGCCCCAAAGAACAACCGTATGATGTGGATTTAAAAACGTGCTCCGTTCTCTTCAACTGCTACGTGGCTCTGGCCTGCATGTTCCCAAGCCACAACCCTGGAGTGCCACTCCGCGACGCTATTGCCAAGGCGCTGTGTAGGTCAATGCCATGGCGGAGCTGTCCTGGATCCGAGGGCAGCTGCCGAGAGTCAGTTTTGGCTGAATGCCAAGCGCATGGTGAGCCTCACCTGGATCTGGGCATCTGTGGTTGTACGTCTTTGTGAACCCGTTCCACAGCAATCATCATCGTGTTCAACCTTAGACAAACATGCCGGCTCGTTTAAATGCTGATCTTGCACAATGCTTGCTCACTGGAAATAGCAATGGTAGCAAAGAAAGGGATCAGGGCTTCGCCTGCACAGCTGGCAAAGCCATCTGATCTCCTGTCGTGCCCTTCAAATGGTCCCAAGTGGCCTGGCGCCTGGTGCTTAAAAGCAGTTGGCCTACCAGAATTTGTCCGCCTGTCGCCTTGTTAGGCATCCGGTTTAGCAAGCTCTGGCCTCAACTTGGGTCGGTCTGTTAAAAGGGGATGGTGGCATTCTGTTTGCTTGGGGTTCCCCTTTAAACCAAGGTGAAAACGGTAATTACTCTTAAAGAGGCAAAGACCCGTCTAATTCTTGCTCAAACAAACCTGACCAAAAGGGACCCCTACGTTTGCACTTCCGTCGCGGTCCTGCCGAAGGATTGACATGCGGATCAGCATGTCCTGGCGTCGGAAAAGCAAAACCGCGGAACCTAGCTCACCCCGAAAAAAGGAAGGACCTCACAGTTTTCCGTGTTGCCTTGCCTGAGTGTTTCCGCAGTCGCTCCCCTTTTAGTCCCAACCCTGCAGGCATGTCAGGAGGAATTTGTTGGTTTTTGTTTCACCCGCCCAACCCAAGCAAATGACAACCCCCCCCCCTCGCCGGGGCAAGCAACAAATCAATGTTCAAACCACATGTTCAATCCACCCAAGGAAAACACCGCCCAAGATCCTAAACAAATGAAAGCTTTCGACTCCTAAACGTTTCTCATGCCTCATTGAAAACAAAAACAACACAAAAACAAAGGACGGGATCTCATTGACCTTCAAAAATCCTTCAAAACACCAGGCAAACAAAAAAAACAAAACAACACATACACGGACATCCCCCCCCTTGAAAAGGTGATGTTTCAACCCCACGCGATATCGCGAGCTCCTCGCCCCAGTAGCCCCAGGGCACCAGGATTCGGCCCAGGCGGCCCACAGCCCCGCGCTCCACCACGGCGAGCCTTGCGTTGCGCTTTCCCATCGCTTCCCATGGGTTATCACGGGTTTCTCACAGGTTTCCCACAGATTTCGCATGGGTTTCTCATGGGTTTCCTATGGGTGTTGACGGAGAGAACTCGGATGGAATTTCCGCTGGGCTCTGCCCGCCCCCCCAAAAGGTGGGGCTGTCCATGTTCAGAACCCCAAAAATTGTCTAACGTTCAGAAGCTTAAATGGAAAGCCCGTCCCGCTTGTGGGATAAGTGGAACGCAACCACTAAACCCTGAAAACCCAAAAATCGACGGGGATGGCTGGGGACCACCAAGAAAAGCCAAGTCAAGGAACCTTTGGGAAGGGTGCAAGTGAACATTGATCCTGACAAGTCTTTCTTTACGGAGTTGAACATCTTGAACATGAGGGGCTCTCAGATCTTTGCTTTTGCGGCTGGTTACGTTTTAAACTTCGATTGGGGGTAGTTGTGGAATGTCACTTGAAAGGAACTAGGATTAGGGATTGTTCCTCTAAAAGGGAACACTCCCCGCCCATCAGTCAACCAGGATTAGCTTCATCCAGGGATCAGCCAATCGCGATCATCGATAAATCGGATTGACTAATGGGGTCAAGGTGGGTTCCCTTTCGAGTAATGATACTCCCTTTACCGATCATTGCAGAATTCGATTAATTTTAACTACATGGATGGCGTGCCCGTATTTCACAATCCCAACTGCTTTAACAGAAGCTGTCGAGGGTGTGCCTGTCCCCGTTGGCTAAGCAAAACATTCACCAGAATGGAGGATCCCCAAGCGACCTGAGATGGGTTTTCGCGCGTGTTACCGCCGAATCGGTGAGCTTGTGGACTAATTTGTGCAAACTAGTGGGGAATGTGTTGAAAAACAGGCGGAACCCCAAACATGTGGTTTTCCTTTGCTGTCCCTTGAAACCACACCCAAAGGGGTACCCTCAAAAAAAAAACAGTTCAGCTTTAGGTGTCGCTACTGACCCCTAGGCAAATGTCTTAACTGTTCGCTGGCTTGGGAAAACAAAACACTGACACACACACACACACACACACATTTCCCGAAAGTTAAAGTTTAAAGATCCAAGACTTTTCTAGGGTCCCCCCTTTCCTGTGGTTGTTCAAGGGAAACTGCAAGCAACTCCAAATTATTTGGGGTCCCAACAAAAAAGGACACACCCAAATCGTAGCCAAGTATTGATTGTCATGAGGTTTGCAACAGTTCGCTTCCCTGAGCCCCGTGCTGCGCGGGCATCTCGATGACCTCCCGCCGCTCGAAGAAGTGGGGCACCTCAAGGCCGGCGATTTCCATAGCACAAGAATTTTGCGCCTGGTTGGCGCTTGACTTTTCATATTTTTGGGAAACTCCCCCTCAAAGAAAGAAAGCAAGGGGCCACACAATGCCCAAAAGCCCAGGCTTTCCAGGGGTCTTCAAGGAAAAGGGGGGACCTGTCAATGGCTTCGCCGCCCTTGCAAGTTCACCGGCTTTGGTAATCATTGCGCGCAGGGTGGTGGAATAATTACAATGCTTAAAACAAGCCTGTCCACTTGCATTGGTTCAAAGGTGACCTCCCAAAGCACCCCAGCTTCAATCCCATTGCTCGATCGAAAGCTCCGCGAAAGCCTTCGCGGAAGGGGAAGTGAACTTTTGCTTTGGCCGCAACTGGGTTTAGAACCTTGCCCAGTTGGGGGTAAGCTGCTACTGTCTGCCAGAGAAGGCGGTGTAAGAAGCTAGCCTTGACTCTAGTTTTCGCTCTCGCGCGTGCAGGAAAACTATAGTTTCTCAGCCTTGCGAACCGGAAAAGCTTGGGCCGATTGAAATTTGATTGGGCAACACATGGGGGAGGCTGGGAAGAGCTTTTTCGGAGCTTTCGCGGAAATCGGGCTGCGTTTTCGAGTGTTGAGCCAGTGGTTGACCCACTGTGCGCGTTGCCATGGCTAAAACCACAGCTTTTCAAGTGGGCATCTCAAAGGCTCTTTGTCGCTGCTCTCAGCAAGCAGGGGCTTATGCAAACCGGATTCAAAGCTCATAACATATTTGCCTTCTCACTTGTCCCCTGCAGTTGCTCCATGCCGAACCCAGCTGCCTGAGCCTCGTTTTAGAACGTCGCTCAACTGGTGACCAGCCAGCCACCTCCCATCATAGCAAGAAGCGCATGTACTTCAATTCCGTATGCCCGAAAAGTGTGTCCCAAGACCCCACGCAAGTCCCTGTCTTTCGAAGCAACGGCAGGCACAACAAATCGACATGACCCGATGCTGCAGCAGCCAAGGTCCTGGGGCCCCAGCGAAATTCTTGGCGCAGTCCTCGCGAAACTGAGCCTTGGTGCCTGAGCGATTCTCGCGGGGAACGGGGACCGTACCAAGCATTTACTAAATCCGTGGGCCGCCGAAAAAAAATGAACGACTTCCCCACAGACGGGGAAGTCACCTGGAATAAGTAAGATCCCCTGAGCAATCCCAAGTCGACATTAATCGGGAGGGCAGGACTGGCCCAAGCCACCTGATCGCTGAGAAAACCATGACAATGCTGCCTCGTAATCTACACCGTCTGCTTTGCTTGCAACCTCCAGCCGCCAGGAAACAGCGTGACGCAACCCCCTGAGAACGTGCATAAGTGCCGCAGCTTGGCCGCTGACTCAACTCAACTCATTCCTCAAAAACAGCACCCAAAGAAAACTCACTTCAAGGGACCCTGGAAGAACCCTATCTCTGCTTTGGGCACCGATTGCCCCAGCTGAGCGCCAGGCCTTTGAAAAACCAAATATGGTTGATGTAGTGAGACCTTGGCTCCAGGCAGCTTTCGCACTGGCACACTGATGGCCCTCTCTGCCAGCAGCGTAAAAACCCTTCAGCATTTCAAGGCGCGCAAGCCATGAGGAATCAACCCATCTCAAGCAAGCATCAGCCCTTTTACTGCCAGCATCCTTTCCACCTCGCAACTTGCCTATAAGCCACGCAGGCCATCCTAGGCGTGCCCAGGGCCAAACCTTCCCTTGCGCCACAGGCTAGCATCCATTCATTCTGATTCAGGGAGGTCACCGGGAATGTCTGGAGGCAATAATGCTATGGGGAGTGAGAAAAAGTATGTTTTCTTTTCTTACCCTGGAGAAAAAAGAAGTAAAGAACAAGCGACAAAAAATATATAAGAGTAACAAGGGAACAATTTGAGAACTGCATAACTGAAGCGTGAAACAAAAAAGCAATCCCGGGGCATGTGAGGCATCCAATAACTCGAACTGATGGGCTGACTATTGTCAGTAACGAAGCTGGAGCTTGAGTCAGCACATATCTGGTCTTTCGCCGCCCCAGTTGTAGCGGCTGCAGGGCTCAGGGAAAATCCTCGATCTATTCTAAAACGGCAGAAACCCCCCTTGCATCAAATCGAACTTTCTGAAATGAACCCCTCCCCCCCAAAATAAAAACACTCAAAGGATCTCAGGGCCTTCCCCGCCCCCCCGCTCCCCCCCCACCCCTAAGCCGGGCCCCCCCGTCTTTGCTAGCGCGGCCTCGGTGTAAAATTCGGCTGAGGCAGCCACGCCATTTGCCGCGCCACCGTGCCGCGCAGGTCCGTGCCAAGGCCCTCCCAGGCATCCTAGGTGACCGCCGAAGCCTTCCGACCGAAACGTCCATTTGGCTAAGATCCCGGAAAGAACAAAAAACAAATCCAGTTTAGTGATAAGCTCCTTGACATTTCTGCCAAAAAGAAAACAGTGGTGATAAGTTCCATTTTAAAACCGACAAGGGATCAAAAATCCTAGTATTCAGCAAATGGAAGGAACACATGGCCCCTGTGAAGAAAATGGCCGTCCACACGGCTGCGGGTCAAAAATAGGGTAACCCCACAATGGGTAACCCTGGTGAAACATGGACTAACATGTGCGGTCCCCTGGTGGTTGAATATTGATTCACACCCACATTTCAGTGGTTGATGGATAGGAGTACCATATGAGTTCAGATGCAAACCACTGGTAAGTTGGGCTTCGTGTGCAAGATGTTGGTCTTTACGCGGCGGATCTGTTGGTTTACCTTGCACAACTTACGGCGACGGAAAGCACTGTATCAGATTCATCCCAAATCCTGGAACCCTGCGCCGTGTTTGGGACATTGAAAGGGCAGGGTTGCCAATCTACCAAACCATTCATCCAAAAACAAGGGACGGTGACAAAGCGGGGACCTAGGAGAGACCTAGGCATACGGTCAGCTGCCCACCCCCGCAACTAACAATGATAGGCACGGTCAGATAGATGCCCCTTGCCTGTTTGGATTCATGGTCCCGCCAGAGCTTTGCGTGGACGGCCCGTGAGCTGGCTTTGACTCAGGCCCCCCGGCGATGTTGCGCAAATAGTGCATATGGAAGCGCTGCTCCCCTGGGCGAAACGAGAACTTGTCCCTGTCTCAAGCGCCTATCCTCGGCCAGGAACTCCATTTTCCGCCATGGCTTCTTGCTTACTGCAGCCCAGTTTTGAAGACCAATGTGCAAACATCAATCCAATACTTCAGGTCTATGAAGACATAGGGTAACTTCTTGCTTCAACTGCCTGACCTTGCCCCAATCTGGAAGCCTCGTTGTGCCGCCCTGGCTCCGTCTTCTTCACTTTTGCGCCAGAAGATATTTCCATCTGTTTGGGGCATTTGATTGCCGTTTCCGTCAGAAGGAGGTAAAGACCTTGATTCCGGGCCGCGGAAACAAGCGCGCCTCTGACTCTGTCACGCAGCTGAACCGGCAAAGTCCTTCCACCCCCTTCCATGACCAACGAACTTCAATGGACGACTGGGCAAAATGCCGCAAACACTGTGGACACCTGGCTTTATAAGGCTTGGTTCCTTTGAACCTAATGCTTGCCGTGCATCGGCAGATTACTACGACACATCATGAGTGCCTGACAGGCTCTGCGCGATGGAACATGTCAATTGCATCCAAGCGTGGCTTGGGCAAGAAAAAGAAACCAGTTGCACAAGCTTGCTTCAGTACCAAATAAGCAGCGCCCAACACCCACTGACATTTGTTTCGTTCCCAATAGTTCAGGGTGAAGTATGAACACTTCTCAATAGCAGCTAATATATAGCCCGACGGATCGAGTAGAAAGTCGAACCAGAACCATGCACCTACTAATCTGGCAAGCAAAGGCTTTCAGTGCTGCTCACATGGGCCGATCATTGGCCGAGACACGGATGTACTCGCGTCCTCGCCATCGGATGTGCTGTGGCAAGTCCTGCAGCATGCGACAGGCAAGCGACTCAATTTGTTGTTGCAAGTAATTGCGTGCCGCAAAGCTTGCCAGCACCGCAAATTGCTGTAATGACATTGGGTATAAAGGATGGTTCACTCACATGATCGGAATGAGTGCTATGCAGCTCTGAGTAAGGAGAGAGCAAAGCCTAACAAGCACAACATGTGAGGCCATGTTGGGTGGGCAAAGTGGATGACACAAGAAGGAACTGATCTTCGGTGTTTGTGTTGCTGGAGGCTGAATATGACGCGGCCTTGCTTTGACGCACTAGCTTTCGTTTGTGCGTGCCAATCTTTACTATCCTGCCAGCCTGCCAGCAAAAAGCTCTGACAGACACACACACACACAGGGACAAAGACAGACACAGACACACAGACACAGACGGAGACAAAGACAGACGCAGGCACAGGCACAGGCACAGGCACAGACACAGGCACACACAGACACAGACACAGACACAGACACAGACCACAGACCACAGACCACAGACCACAGACCACAGACCACAGACCACAGACCACAGACCACAGACCACAGACCACAGACCACAGACCACAGACCACAGACCACACACCACACACACACACAAAACACACACAAAACACACACACACAGGAATAACGTTGTTTCCGTGTGTATGCATCTATCGTGGCCGCTCCGAGCCAAAGCTCCCAACTCCGGGCACCTCGCCTGGTCCTGCGCCATGGCATTGAAGTCATCAATCCTCGGCGCCGAGCCCAGACCGCGGATGCGCCAAATCCCCGGCCTGGAAACCCCAAATCATCCACATTGGCCCACCCGTTTCCAGCACTGCTAGAAAGCAACATGAAACTAAACCATGTGAAATATCCCGCGTTTCCCTTAGTTTCAGCCCCCAGGCTTGACTGGCAATATGCATGTTGTACATGTGGGCCAGCGCTGTGTTGCACCATGGTGTGCCAGCGAAAAGTCGTGAGGTACCACGTTTTGGCGTTAGGTATGCTGTAGGCATGTGCTTGTGCTAGCACACTCTCCAAGTACCTCGCTAGTTGCCTAGCGATTCCATGTACACATTTAGCCAGCAAACCTTTTGAATCATCCTTTCAAATTCCAATCGAACACTGGAATGGTCTAGATAAGCACAGATCTGCACACTTGCCCAACTCCCGTTCCCCATCGCCTGCGCTCGAACTCGCTCAGCTCTGGATCCTCAGTGCAAAGACCAGCTGCAACCGACAAGGATGGCATTATACGAAACTGGTGGCGTGCATTAGGTGAGGATGCCAGCAGCGAATCCTATTATGTTGAATTTGGAACAAGGCAACGACCGCATCACGTGATTCCCCGGGAAACGCGGAAGAGAAATAGAATCGCATGGTCCTCCAAGCTTATCAAATGTTGTCATGGTTGACATTGCAACATTCTAAGCAACCAGCCCTCTGCTGGGACCCCGCACCATCTTGGACATCACAGCGCACGCGGCTCCGATGATATACGCCCAAACGATGGAGCTGATCATCATGCCTTGGTATGACAGAACAGTCCGAAACCATCTGAGCAAGCATCTGAACTGGGCTATATGTTTGTTTGGTGAACATCGACTTTAGATTCATAGAGCAACGCCAAATGAACCAGAGCTCTTCCACTGGCGGGGACTCGCTTCACGTCAAAAGGATCCATCGAAGTGAGGCTGCTGAGGCAGGCAGGCAGGCAGGCAGGCAGGCAGGCAGGCAGGCAGGCAGGCAGGCAGGCAGGCAGGCAGGCAGGCAGGCAGGCAGGCAAGCAGGCAAGCTGACAAGCAGGCAAGGACTTGGTGTCTGACAGCTGGTGCAGGCAACGTACTCCGCTGGGGTGTAGGGCAAAATGTCGCCGTATCCCACCTCGCTCAATGACACTGTCACAGGGGCACACCCGAAATGGTGGGGGTTTCTTTCGTTGCCTTTTCAACCAACGCAATCCGGGGCATCCTCAAAGGCGCACAACGCCTCTGCGTGGCCAATGGTGAAAAGGCCTCTGCACCTCTGACACTTAAAAGTTGAAACGGAAGAAGGGTTGGTCTCCGCTCTGAGGACTGCGAGCTCTCGCACACGCTTGCCGCTGCTCTTGCCGCCGAACCCACTATCGGCTAGTGCAGTAAACACCTGGGAGGCAACTAGTTCACCTGTCCGACACATCGCTTGCTGCTTAAGAAACGAAATGTCTACGGGGAAGACCATTCTGAGAGATTCCTCGGCATTTTGTGGGACCAGCCACTAGCAGGTACTCAAAACTTCATGCGCACAGGTCTCGGAAGAAGAGCCAACTAGCCAAACAAGTGCTGAAGAAAGACCGGCCCATGAATGTGAAGCACCTTGTGAGATGTGTGTTTCTTAAACGCCCTAAGTTGAAATATGGAAGGTCAGGCCATGCTAAAGAAACCAATGCCACTTGTACGCCTCCAAGAAAAAGGAGCCTGCAAATGGTTGTTCTTTGGTTCCCCGCAAGGACGCCTAAAAAAGACAAGCTCTGCAGCTCGATGGCGAGGCACTTACCTTTGGCTTCCCATCAGGAAGTTGCGGTTAAAAGTCAGCTCATAAAACACAAACAGTACTCAATGCGGCAAGCCCTCCTCGCCCAGCAACTGGCAACTGCAGAGTTTCCCTGGAACTCATTCAGAATTAGGATTCACATCACGACAATGTGATTCCTTGCCAATGGGCCCTTCTCCCTCGTGTGTACACACACAAACGCGCACACACACACACACACCCACACACCCCGATCGATCGACCGACCGACTGACCGACCGAGACCCACACACACACACAGACACAGACAGACACACAACCAATTCTACAAGCACGTCATCCACACGTCAATCTATGCAAGATCAGCTGCTGTTCCACCGTCTGGTTTGGTTCCCATTGCGGGGGGAAGCAAGGTTCCCTGCTTTTTGGCTGAGGATCGTGGTGCATTTCTGTATGGCCGTATGCGAGTGATTCGTCAAAGGCACGTTGCATTGCCTGCCCTTTGCACCCGTAAGCAAGTTGACACGATGGAAAGACCCTTGCTTACTTCCGTCAATGTGCATCCAGTACTTCATAAACCAAAATGCCCCCTGCCCACACCCAGCTTTTGCATTGCCAGCCCAGTTGCGGAGGTCATAGTCATGACAGACCTGGGACTAGAGCGAAATGCCAATAAATTGAATTGATCCATTTGGCAGCACAATGGCTTCAAACATTCGGGTCATTGCAAGTGTTGAAAGGTCGGAGACGCGACACAAAATTCTAATAGCCCATTGCAAAAAAACAATCATTTCCTGAGCATGGCGCAGGAATCACCAGAGGAGGGGTATTGTCAGTCAAAAGGGAGCTGAACGTGGCAGGCCCTGATCAGCCAGGCCAAAAAGGGGACTCTGACCTCATGCTTTTATACGTTTTTCCAAAACAACCGTGCCAGACAGCCTCCCAGCAATATTAAAAGACGGCACAACTGTTCCTTGCACGGGGTAGGGTGAATGCTTGCCCATGGAGAAATTTGATTTCCAATTGCGGTGCTTCCTGCCTGTCGCCCAATCGAAAGGTAACACATGTTGCTTTGTGTCTCCCTTGTTGTTGCCCTTGGCTTGACCAAACAGGCGCAGGTTGAAGCATGCACCCAAACGGAAAGACTTGCGGTTTCCCTTGTCAAGGCCTGGGTATGCGTAATTATTTTTACCAACAATGTCAGCGATAAATGTGCACCTTTGCCAACCCCAAGCCATTTTCATGCCTCGTTTTTCCATGTATGTGCACAACTCAAGCCCAAATATGTCTGTGGACGTCTTGGGGGTTCGAACATGCCTGTTGATGCCGTTTGTGCGAAGGAAGACATGAAGTGGAACCTGCTTAAGAAGTGAGTAGGTATGATGCAAAGTTAAGGTGGTGATAAAGGTCCTGTTTGCCAAAATGTCTGCGTGTTTGCGAGCGTGTGGGTGCCTCTGAGTGTGTGTGCGGCTCAAACAAGTGTGCCTTCCTCCGTCACAGTCATAGTAACATGAGCCTACGCTTCCTCACATGCTGAAAATGCTATTGCCCAAAACCCACTTAGCTGTGTCTTTGCTTTAAGGGCGCGTTCGTTCTCCCAAATGAAGGCCACCAGGAAACATCATGTTGCTGAGAGGGGGCTCGTTCTTAAACCATACACTCTTGTTGAGCAAGCATGACCTAGAAAATGAGCCATACGGTGCGGAAAACACATATGAAGATGAGTACTTGATGCACGGCGACTCAGAAGAACTATCAACTGCAAATCCTTTGACGCATGCAGCGCAACTAATCGCCTCGCAAAACGGCAACGTGAAGCGTGATGATGATTACGGCTATGCATATGATATTTGTTCTTGACAACCTTTACATGGTACCCAAAGCCTCTGAACATGAACCACGGCGTAATTGGTGGCAAACAGCATTGATCGCCTGATGTGTTCCCGCTTGCCTGTGTGCTTGCCCAATGTTTCAAAAGCCTTGCTGGTTGGTTCGTGACACAAAGAAATGCCGCTCACGAGGCCGGGGGAGGGGGGGGATCAAATGTGTATGGTAGGCGTGTGTGCAACAAGGAAGGACTGACACAGCAGGAATCCAATAAACCAAATATTTGCAAAATGAACCCCCTTCAAACGAGTATGATGCATACGTCTGACAGAAGCAAAGCTTAAGAACGTAATCTAACAAGTTGCCCTGCCGGTTTTGATAAAGCGACTCGGAGCTGTTTCCCGGACCATGCCGCAAGGACTTCCTTGGGGCCCCTGCCAATACAGCGCAGCCACATAGATCATGCCTACGAGGGCGTCGGCTGGCAACTCGGAAACCAGGCCAAAAGTTTGAGAGGCCACGGGCATCTAAGAGAACTATAACTAAGAATTCACTCACCAAGGGATCTGCCGGGGTCAAGCCCTCAGGCCGCCCGTTGGAACAAAAACGCCCAGTGGCAAGCCTGATTTCAGAGCCTGGCCATTCACATAATACTTCCACTTGCCAGTGATCCTGGTACAAAAGGCAGCCAATTGTATGGAGTTGAGCATTCTGAGCGGACCTCCCAAACTCAAACGGCAAAAGGTACCACTGCACAACTGGTTCCAGAACTTGAGAACTAGAACTCCGCACAGGCATGTTAGTCGGGGCTATTGATCCAGAATGAATGTCTTCTGGCTTTTTGTCAAGGCCAAAGGCTTTCAGGGCTCCCTTGACCAACAATGAATACAGGGTATGAGCGACATTGCCCGATGTTCAGGGCGTAGGAATTGCTGCTTGGCAAGAGGAAGGTGCAGCGGAACCAAGAAACATGAGTTATTAAGTTCTTAAGTGAGCGTTGGGTGTACTTGTCTTTGCCGGATAGTGGGTTGCCACCGTAGCTATTCTCTTAATTGGCAACAGCATCGGGTGTGCAGCCCATGTTGGCAGTGATTTTGTTGCTGCTTGTGAAGGATCAGTCAGGAGCCCACTTAGAACAATCATAGCCACGCTAAAGGAGCAGTCCCAACCATAAACAGGTGCATCCGGCCTTTGGAGTCCATAGTTTTGGGTCAATCATGTCAACCCCATGAGCACCAGGTCTTGATTCTGACTCACTTGGGCGCTACCTGAGCTGCGAAGTGCGAGTGGCCAAATCGCACCATGGTACAAATCGCACTTATATATATATATATGTATGTGTATATATATATATATAAATACAATATTGTTGAACTCCTAATCGACACCCGAGCTGCAACCCAATGGCGCGTATCTGGCATGAGCCCAGATTTTGGGTCCAGCAACCCCACGCTATCTGGCTAATTGCGGCATGTGAGCATCAGCCAGAAAGAAGCGCTCCGCATGCAAAATATTTGAATATGTAGCCCCGGCCTGGCGCTAAAAACTCAACTGGCCCATTTTGGTGCCTGTGCTCAGGCCAAGGTGTTTTGAGTGCCCGCGCGAACACGACGCAAGACGCAAGACCATTCCTTGTGGGAGCTTTCGAATCAATCAGACGGCCTGTGTCGCAGGGATCCGCAGGCGAGCCGGGTGTGCGGGACTGCGCCCAACGCACCTCGAGTGGAATTGGCGCAGCCCGAGGCACCAAGGAGCTAGCTGAGATGGATCATCTGACGAATTGTAAGGGCAATGACTAAAAGTGGCTGCCAACATAGAAAACCCAAAGATGAAATGGTCGATTCGTTTACAAGTGAGTCTAGTGTATGTTGTTCACCCATGGGGTTCTAAACTACATTTGACTCTTCTACCGCAACGAGAAGTCTGCCGCCGCCTTCTTGAAAGCAGCGCGTAGGCAAAGGGATCAAGACGTACCGTACTGGCAGACACCCAGCAAAAGAAAAGAAGAACCGAATGTTAGTTCAGGTTTGTGAGTAAGCATTGAAGAATCTTCACAAGGTTGGTCTGCCTAGTGATTTGTCGTTTCAAGCCACTACTTGGGGGAAGCACAGGACTTCCCGCCAAAGTTCAAGACTGGCCAAATTCAGCCCACCGCAGCGAAGGTGAGTGAAGTTTCTTGATATCACGAGGGAAAGGTACTCAACATAGCTTCCAACGCTCCAAACCATGCTCGCTCACATGCACAAGGCAGCCACATCCATATGGCGAATCATGCCTGCCCTGTTGCTTGCCAAACCCTGAAACACACTTGATCCAAACCGCAGCTTTTAAAAGGGCCGCGTGACCAAACCTGAGGTTAAAACGGGGGAGCCCCGTCTAAGCCACCACCCGTCCCTTCCTTGCCACCACTCACCGCCCCCCCCCCAATTCAGGACACTCAAGAGCCGAATAGGGAAGGCTTCGAAAGGACAGCACAACAAACAACTTGTCCCATAAAATCCAACTAGGATCGCCAAAGGCATCCATGTGTACCAGAATACTCGCTTCATAGGCCCTGCTTTCAGTTCAATGTGAGCTTTCTGAGCCTGTCACAGAAAGCAAGCTCAAATGACAATAAAAACATGGGCTTTGCAAACCAGCTCCTGCACGCGATGATGATGGCGCCAAAGGGAAACAGGAAACTCAGAATGCCCGCTGAGTGCAACACATTGCTCCCTCCAACAGGGCACTTCCGCGAAAGTGCACACCAGGCTTCCCACCAAACGCCGCAATGCTGGCGCAGTCAGGGCGTTGAAACGAGCATCCGGGTAGACGAGCTGACAACACGGAAAAGGCACTACGCACACCCCAGGACCACCATAATGATATTTGAAGGCCATCAGGGTCGACCCAAACCCTGATATGGCAGATAATTTTCCCAAAAAGATCATGAAACCCGCCCCTCAACTCCCTGGAAATGCGGGCTCACATTGAAACAGTCCAAGGCGCAACCCAGCTGTCACCAGGCCAGGCAGATGGATCATTGGGATCCAATCCTGTCCGCATGGCAAAGGCGACCAACTGGAGATGCCGTCGTGGGCACAGCTGTCCCTCTGTCTTCATGTGTCTGCGCGTTGTTTGTTTGAGGGTGCCATGTCGTTGGGTTTTGAAAGGACAACAAAAGGCAAACACCATCCCGACCCAGGATTCAAAAGCCTAGTGGTAAATCGGGGGCCTGTGTCATTTTTAATTACAAGGCTGAGCGTGACCGGAAGCGAAATCGATGTGGTGGGGTGAGCATGACTGGGCTTGGACGCGGCTTGGGGGGTGTCTTCCAGAAATCATTGTAATTTCTTGCAGAAAGATACCTGGAGCCTGTTCAAGGCAAAGCCGGTTTTCGGAAGCTTCTGGAATAAGCGGGCAATAGGTATTTGTTCATTTCTTGTGTGTGTTTTTTGTTCTCTCTCTTTCTCTGCCTCTGTCTCTGTCTCTTTCCGACCTTGGGAAAGCGCTGCGCCTGCCAAGCAAAAACAGGGCCGCAAAAACGCACAGGGCGCTCACTGTGAGCACATTCTATCTGACTTTTTCACGACAGCCTTTTCTCCTCTTCTTGTCTCTTGTCTTCTCTTTCCGCTCTCATCTGCTTTTAAACGGCAGCTGGCCTTCTCTTAGCGCCAGTACTACGGCAGTTTCGTCTAAACTTCCTTTGATGATGTGCTATGCAAAGTGCCAAAGCTTCGCGTCCATGTGATTTAGGCATGTAAAGTCAGGCAGCCTCGCTAAAGAACTCAAAATGATTCACCTGTCAATCAGTCAGGACGTTCCCTGTTCCAACCCCCTCCCGCAACAAATGACGAGGACTCTTGCAGATTCCCCATTCCACGGGAAAGCGCTCAGCTGGCAGCGCAAGCCATTCTGTGCAAGATCCGCCTGAAGTATCCGACAAAAAGTACTTCGCGGTCGGGTGCAAAAGCAGCAACGGATCATCGGCTGCCCTGAGCGGCTTGCTCATGCTGGATGGGCCAAACAAATCACCCGGCCAAACTTGTCAATAGTATTATTAACCCAAGGTCCGTCTCCAGCTGAATGACCTGCCTAACCGCTTTGCGCCGTGCAAGGTAGGCCCCTAAGATCAAGTCCCTCATGCAACACCCTTCACTGTAAGCTGGATCTGGTTGGCTGCATCAGTGAATCAGGTCGGTCAGTTGCCAGCGTTCCGTACAAACCACGGTGAATTCTAGCCCTTTTCCACAGCAGTCGTGGCTCGCAAAAGAAAAGGAAGCGGACAAGGTGGCCTGAACCATTGGTTAGGACCCGTGCCAACCCCAAAATACTATAATAAATTTGTGGAGATAACCTTCCCGCGCGGAAAGCGGATTGAACAAGAATCTATGCTCGATCTGGCTAGAGGCATTAGGCTGTTCCGAACGCCTGGGAGCAAAACAACTCAAAGCCCCAAGCTAGTTTGCAATGCTCAACATTGCCACGCGACTGAAGGGCATGCCAATGCCCAATGCGACTTCTCGGTCCCCCACAATTTGGCTGTTGGAGTCTGTTTGCAGAAGCAACCGACAAGGGCACATCTCAAACTATAAAAGACCAAATCTTTGCTGAACGGTGGTCACCTTGTTGCTTGGCGGTCTTCTAAGAAGCTCAAAACAAGGGAGACACACACCGCCGGCCCAGTTGGGCGTGTCGCTGAGGACATGCCCTTTGGGTCGGCTAAAGAACACCAAGTGGTCTTCCAAGACATGTGGGGGTTCTCCAATTTTCATGCTGGCCACAAAACCACGGGATCTAACAGGGGGGGGGTACTCCAGCCAAGCAGCAGCTCCATTCGGCATTGCCTGAAAGACGTCTGGAAATAAATCTGAAACGAGTTGGAGCACCCCAGAAGCGAACAGCAACATTTTCATCACGAAGGTCGCAAACAACCCCTTTGTCAGGTCGATATAAGTTGCTCTGCACTGGAATTAGTCAGCTCGAGTCCTTGTAAAGTCTACCAAACTACCACAGGTGTCCAAAGCCCACCCCTACCACTTTTGGATGAAGGGGCAACAGGTCGGAGCCAATGCAATCCGTTCACGCCAAGATGCTGACATACAGAGGTTCGCACCACGTTTCATTCGTTTCGTATTCGCAAGCCCTCGAGTTCATTGCTACTCGACAACCTACTCTGCTTGACAAATTGTTTGCCTTGGGTGCAGGGCTGCGAAGACTTAAATCCTGCAAGCATCATCGGCATTATCCCTACTCCCTCTACCGCCCGAGGCAGACCCAGCAGCAAGTGGCCCCAGTGCCGCAGCTGGAGCTATCACTCATTCGACAACTCCGCGTCCGCATGGTGACAGGGGCATGCCACAATAGAAAAGCGTCGCTAGGATTTGTGCAACAGTCGGCAGGCAAGCTGAAAAGCGCGATGTGCAGGCCCTGAGATGGACCCATTCCCGCGATTATGGTCGCTGCTGCATGTGGCCCTCGCCATTCTCAAACTCGGCATGGCTCAGGCAAAAGCATCTTTACATCTTTATGGTACGTTGGCACATGGGCGCATGTCACGCGCAATTGGCCAACCTTATGCCGGGTTGCAGCAGGGAGCCCTCGAGAAGTCCAAGGAAGCCCCAAAGGCACGCCTCAGCAGGAGTTGCTGGCGGGTGACTGCAACCTCTCGCCCAAGGCAAGCTGCCAGCCCAAGTTGCCAAGCCTGCTTGCTGGAAGCAAGGGCAAAACAAAGGAACTGCAAAATGGTGACCATGGTGAAACATCGACAATCAAGCCTGGCGCAACCAGGGACCGAGAACACAAGACACCTGGTCTGATGCCACGCCGCCATCCAGTGACAAGAAAGAATGATGAGCACGGAGAACTTGATCAGGTACAAGTTCCTCGCACGTGTCGTTTGCTGGCGATGCGTGGCGTTTGAGCGCCCCTTTGTTGTTCTGTTGTCGTCCATGCGTGAGGAACTGGACCTGGACACCTATCAACAGGTTTAAAGTTTAAAGCACTCAAAAGGGAAGTGCTCGGCGACCAAAAAGCACAGTGGGCCTGAAACGAGAATCCCTGTACCTGGGCCCTTGGTGCCCAGATTGCCCATACAGCGGGGAGTGGTGCACAAGCAAGTGATGCGGACTCCTACGTGCCTCCACAGCGAACCCACCAGTGTTGTTCTGATGGTCATGTTCCAGAACTAACAACCCCTGGACGTCGATTAAAGCAATGCAACACAAGCCAACCACGTAGAGGGTACCTAGATGTTTCTAGAAGTCCTGACATAGCTGTGACAAGTGAACCGGAAAAATGGTTGGGTCCAATGAAACTCGTATAGGACCATCCATGAGAGTGATTGCCACAAGTTTCCACCAGTTTCCCACACCAAGTTCGCTCAAGTGTCGTGCTCTTCAGCGCGATGCGATTCTCCCAGCGCTTGACCATTCTGCTGGCCTCAGGTCTGTTCCATCTGAAAATATGTTTCCAACATTGCACCTGACCTGTGGGAAGGTACGAGGAAAAACCCAACTCCTGTTCAAGGGACCCATGCGCCAAGAAGCCTTTGGGATCCTGGCCGAATGGGCGGTAGCTTGCCCAATGGAACTATCAACTGACTCTTGGCACCAAAAGCCGCAAGAAAAGAAAGAGTCAAAAGAAGATCCGCGTTTCCAAGTGGATGCCCATGATGATCACGTGGGCTCGTGAGTCCAAGAGATTTTGCTGCCAAGCAGCCTTCAGAATTCGCAGGAGCTTGACTAAGCGAAGCACCTCGGCGCCGTGCTTTTGGGAGTGCTGATGGTCCAAAGCCTTTGAATCAGGGAGTCATACCAGTTCCGATCTTGCCGACACTGCAACCGACATGTGTTTCCTTGCTCCCCCTTGGATGAGGAACCAGGGATAGGCCCACCAAACACCTGCATCTGCCGACGCCTGTAGCAAAGCAACTCGCGGGAAGCCGGCGACCCATTTGCCTACTACAGGCTTTCTGGGAGAGTGTCAGTCCCCATTGTTTGATCAAGGACCCAAACAAGAACACACACAAAGAAACCAAAGATTTGAAGGGCCCCAGTGTTTGACAGCCATCTATCTTGCCCCAGGGCTAACGCGGCTTGCATCAAGGCCTTGAAATAGAGAGAATATGGAGTGCAACATTGAGACGTTGGGAACCTTGTGCAGGATTTGTCAACTTCCCCAGTCCCTTCCCTGAAACAGGAGTCGTTTTTGCGGCTTTCCAGGGTGCACACGGCTACGCCTTTACGGCAAAACAGGCTGAACCGCACTGCTTAGTTGTGCCAGGCACCCGGATGGTTCGCAGAATCTTCACGCTGTGGATTCCTTGCGCCGACAAGCCAAACCCAGCAAAAACGCCTTGCCCGAAGCACCACTGCTTGTAACACCCAGCAAGACTGAAAGACTACAGGTGTGTCTTCTCAAGACAGCGGGTTTGGAGGGTTGTAGAGGGAAACCAAAAGAACGCCTATCATTTTGGCGTTCCATTTTTTAAAGCACACCCACGCGGGTATGAGTCAAACATAGAGGAACCTACAAAGTGGATTTGTCGTTAGGTGCCCTTTGAACCAAAAGAAAAGTACCCTGAAAAACGCACACGCACAAGTATATGGCCATAACCACCTACATCATAGGCACCATAGCAACTACCACTCCCATCGCTGCTACCGCCCCAACCACCGCAACCAAGTGACAACTTGGTGCTAATATGCCAGCGTTACTTGAAAACCAAGCGTTCCTTTACTGAGGTTTGGTTGAGGTGGACGGGTAGGTCGCTCCTTTTGCGTCTGGCCCATTGTGTATGTCTCGCGGGGCGCAATCAAAACAAAAAAAGCGCCACGCGGATCAGTTCTTATCGGGTGAGGAAAAAGCTGAACAAAACTGCCAAACCTGGAGGCAAACCTCACGAACCTTCAGCAGAAAGTTACACACATAGTTATTTACATGGTAGGTGTGGGCACACGAGCAGCAGAAATCACTAAATTGTGTGGAGGGATTCATTCCGTTCATTCACACAAAGTGTCAAGATTGCACGCTGGGCAATCTTGAGCGGGTTTTGATTAGCATGCCACTTGAGGAAAATAATGCACGGATGATCATTGTTTGTCAATTGAAAAGACAAATGCGCACACACACACACACACGTGAAACACAATGCACTGGAAAAGGCCATGTCAGCGTCTGTTGCTGACTGGAGGTTCCCCTTGAACCAGCGGAAGCCATGTAAAAAGGAGACCCGGAGGAGAAGCCAAACCGCAAGACGTCGACAGGATAACATGAAAGTAAGCTATTGAGGCACTCAACTTTGAGGTTGGCAGTTGGTCGCTCCCTTGTCAAGAAGCCTAGGTCTTGAATGCAAAACAATGGCTTCTACCACTCGATCAACGTCTTCCATGCGAAAACCTTGCTGACATGGCCTGGGACCTGGATTTGTTGTTCTTCAAGGTGGCTTCGGCACAGGTTCGGAAGGAGGCTTCTTAGGGGCAGGAGCGTTCTTAAAACCCTTCTCAGGGGTCCCAATGTCTCCCTGAATGCTAAGCGGCCTGCCCAAGGATCCCCACGGCCGGCAAATGTTCAGCTGGTTGTATGGTTGCTCAATGGGCAGCATGTAAACTGGTAGGGCAGGCAAAGAGCCATGGATAGACAAAAAGCAATGGGAGGTAGCTTCACCTGGAAAACGCTTGATTGCAAACAAACATGGCGCAAAGGTGATGCACTTATGTTCGGCGGCAAGCATGCTGGTCATTCCGGAGCGTAACTCTGCCTAGTACAGTCCAGTGCAGACAAGCAGCCATCGGCTTGCATCTGATCTGTAAGGTCATCGTATGGCAAGACCGAGGCCAGGTCAATCCTTACATCCAGCGTCAGATTGTGCAAGCTGGGAACCCTGGTGCATCGGGAATTGAGAGCAAACATGTCTTTTTGGCACGGCAACTCGGTGTGGCACACTGCCAAGTTCGCACGCCAAAGGTGATCCAGACAAAAGAATGAGCCCCTGTGCGGGCTGGGGGTAGTGTGACTCTAAAGCCACAAGTGGAAACGCCAGCTCTAAGGACCTGCCCTTGAGGGCAGTAGAAGTATGTGCCGATTTCATTGGCTTCAAATGCAATTCGGGATGCTGTTCAAATCGGTTTTGGAATTCATCCCTGCAGCAATCGGGGGAGCTGGCATTTCCTCTCGCTACCTGGGTTAAGCGATTCATTGTATGGCTCATTGAAGGGCCAACCGGGAAAGCCTGCCCCTCGCCAAGTGCAAGCAAGCACTGCTCGGGAAAAATCAAAACATCCGCGACCAAATGCTCCGGCCAACTAGGCTCCACGGCAAGACAATACTGACCACTCACGCCCCTTTCAACAAAAGCCCCCTTCCCTCCAAACAATACATTCAGTGAGGGATTTGGGTGTGTCATTTTGTGGCACCCAGTTTTGGGCTTTAAACAGAAACCGAAAGGGGAACCACACATCTTGGTGTATCCAAGCTGGGAGAAGAACCTATCCAAGGCTCAAGAACCAGGTCCTCGCATAGAGCTGCGCCACTTGGCAGCGGTCGCGCACCCAAATCTTGCCCTGCCTGGCAAAGCGAAGGCCGAAGCTGGCCCAACATGGCTCACACCAACCATGTCCAAACTCCAAGCCTCTTTTGGAGTAGGTTGTTGTGCTGCCACTTGACCCATGGATTTCAACATCCCAAAGCTTGATGGGATGATCCCCTCTGAAATCCATAGATGCTCCTAATCAAGTCTGAACGAATCATAACAAATCACCGACCTGAAAAAGAAACCTCAATGAGCAAGTGATATGATTCCTTCACGGGGGAAAGGGGGTTGGTAGCCAGGTGGCCTGCTACCCATGTACTTGAACCCACGAAATCAAAGGAGTAGCCTCCCACGATCTCCCGCGAACTAACAACCCACCAGAAGGTTCCTTGCAGCAGCCCTGCCCCCCCGGTCAGGTTAGCAATTCAGTCAGAGAGACCCCAAACATTGTGGGTCTTCGAAACTAGGGGTCACCAGGCTTCTGTGCGTCACCGACAGCCGCGTGCGCATCGTGGAAGGGGCGGGTCACCCAAACCCGAGCTTCATAGCCACGCAACATCTACGTATCATTCTGCTCGATATGCCGTTGCCTGTTGACGGGGTGTTTTCACAAGATTTCCTCTGGGCAGCATGGTGCAAGCACAGGACATCGTTTCCTGCGTAATGGCCAGCCAAACAGTCTTATACGATCAGAAGTAGTCTCTGGTCCACTCCGCTTCAAGCTCGGAGTGCCCGTTTAGCCTATCTATCCTCGATTTAAGTGATATGCAGGCCAATTCCAGGGCTGATCGAAGGTTGGACTCTCTCTCCCTCCCTCTCTCACTCTCTTCCTCCTTTCCCCCTCCCCGGCGACAATGACATCGGGAGCCCCCCCAATTCGGCACGGGAGAAAGTGTCAAGAACGCCCCATCAAAATGCGGCTCCCCAGTTGCGATCGAAATCGGCAAGCAAGCGACTGTCAGAGGCCTGGTGTTCCGCTCGACCTTCATGAAGAACTGCATCACCTGGAAGCAATGACTCCCGGCGCGGCCCGGCTCCGAGTGGGGAAATTACTGCGCCAGTTGATAGGTGGCTTACCGGACACAGTCCCCAACATGTCCCCAACATGCTTCATTGTCAGCGATTTGCAGGGTAACACGGTATGAAGACAAACAGGTTTGCTTGAATGCTGAATGCTCTGCAATTCACCTCAAGGTGGTTGCTTTCCTTTCAAGGCTGCAGTCACTCAGGTTCCATGCAAGGTCGTCAGAACCCGGCGATGGTCATTCCCTGTATAAATATCGGTGCTTGGAAGCCTCCCAGCTCGTTTGCTCCCTCACTTCTCGGCGTGAGAAATGCAAAGACCAGAAAGATTCTGCTGAGCCGTGGCGTTTGCGTACAAAGGCACAAGCTCTCAAAAACTGCCGAGTGCCTGCAAGATCCCCACAGAGACGTTTGTCCAAGATGCTCAAAGCATTCACGGTGGAACAAGTCCTTTACGTCCTTTACGGCGGCAAATGGCCATGCGGCCTACGGGCTCTGAAGGGCGGTGTGCATTTACAGTGAGATTTGGGCATGTGTAATCGGTAAAAAAAGAACGAGGCAACGGTGAGTTTTAGAAGCGTGCCAGTGAAAATGCTGCTGGCGGGGGTCAATTTCAGATCTCGAGGGAAACTGTCTACCAAGTCTCTTTTTCCTGATTCTCATACCCTCCCAAATGTAGCGCTGGAGCCCTGTCATTGTGCTGCACGGATGTTCGAAAATCGCAGTTTCGGTTGCGCTTTGCCTCGCCTTCGCCCTGCCACACCCAAAGGCAGCCCACTCTGTGTGTCTCGCTCTTGTGCTGTTTGACTAAGTTGTTTCACGCACAAGAGCTGGAAGTGAGCGCCAGGTCTTGCTTTCCAAGCCCTGCCCAAACAAACCACGCCAAGGCACCATGTCTTTGATGAAAATGACGTCCACCTGAGAGTTCACATATAATCACAGCGCGGTTTCACACCCGACTAATCAAACTGCACCAGTTCCTGTGAACACAAAATGCATTGAGGTGCCGAAGCCTTGAAGAACTTGCAAGCCGTAGACAGGGGTAGGGTGTGATTTCATTGGCTAGATCCTCTGGGGCAAGGTCGGCCGATTCCGAGCTTACGGGCTACTTCGCACCAGGCGCCAAGCCCAGCATGCCGTCACTCCCTCTGAGGCCTTCACAATCCGGTTTAGCACCTGGGCAAAGAAACGGTGGGAACGCCCAGGTGCGAAGCCAGCAAGAGGTGAGTAATGTTGACCCCGGACTAAACAAAACCTGTTCGTTGGCATGGGGGTGTCCCTGGTTTTAGTGGGGATTCATCACTTTTGGAGGGGAACCCCCCCCTAAACAGGGTAAATTCATCCGGGGTCAACATTATCTGGCAGTGATAATTCCAGGGGTCCCAAACTGCCGTCGTGACCCAGAAGCAAGGGCTGCATCAAGCTTGTAGTCACCTCGTGGTTGCAACAGAAGCCTGTACAAACCGCATTTCACAACGGGCGTCTGCCTTGTAAAACAAAACGCCAATGGTAAGGCACCGGGTATTACCAGTTGACCAGTGGCCTTGCAGTTTTAGCGGGGAGCCTAAGCGCAATCCGCTGAACAGCTGGGTAATGCTCCTTGCCCTCAGGTTGAACAGAACCTCAAAGTCAACCTGTCTGCGATTTCACGTTGCTTATAGTATCGGGCTAGCAGTTAGAATGTATTTTTAGAGTAAATGAAAATGCACATTTCAAAAGTCTATCAAAAAATGAGTTAGAATGAAGAGGAAAAAGTCAGTTAGAATAAAAAAAATTTGAAGATAGAATATTTCAACCAAAAAGAAGACAACAGATAGAATATTTCAAAATAAGAAAACAACAGATAGAATATTTCAAAATAGGGGTTTCTGCTATGAACAACTGCTCTGCGATAAATGTCCTAGCTGCTAGCCCGTTGCTAGATGTTTATATATATATATATATATATACGGCTTTCAGCAAACCATGTGGGTCCCATGACTTTCCATTTGGGTCCGTCTCTCTTTCAAGGGTATATGCAAAACCAAACGGAAACCAACCGTTTTGAGGGGTCCCCCCAAAGAAAGACACACGCTTTTGCCAAAGGAATGCATGATGCATGGCTTCTCCATTTTTTCGGAGCTCAAATGCTCAGCCCGACGGGCCATGCCCCTCTCCCACAGACAGATAGAATATTTCAAAATAAGGGTTGCTGCTATGAACAACTACTCTGCGATAAATGTCCTAGCTGCTAGCCTGTTGCTAGATGTTTCTATGTACGGCTTTCAGCAAACCATGTGGCTGTGGGTCCCATGATTTTCCATTTGGGCCCGTCTCTCTTTCAAGGGTATATGCAAAACCAAACGGAAACCAACCGTTTTGAGGGGTCCCCCTAAGAAAGACACACGCATTTACCAGAGGAATGCATGGCTTCTCCTTTTTTCGGAGCTCAAATGCTCAGCCCGACGGGCCATGCCCCTCTCCCACAAACAGATAGAATATTTCATATACAGCAAATTCTCCAGAGACTCAAACGGTACCGAGCCCAAAATATTCATGAACACCTTTTGGGGGGGGGGGGCACATAGAATATTTGCTTTTGCAAACCTTCATCAGGTGATTCATCGTATGCATAAATTACTAAATATAGAGATAGTAAATATTGGATTGCTTATTTTTTGAGGGTACCCCAGTATATTCCAACAAGGGGTGGCCTTCCTTGTTTTTGGCAAAACTTCATCAGGTGATGAATCGTAGGCATAATGAAAGATATAGAGATAGTAAATATTGTTTTGCTTATTCTTTGAGGGTCCAAAAGCGTGGCCTTCCTTTCCCTTTAGCCCGACCCCAAACGGTACTGAGCCCAAAATACAAATGAACACCATGGTACTTGTTGTTGGCAAAACTTCATCAGGTGATGAATCGTAGGCATAAAGAAAGATATAGAGATAGTAAATATTGATTTGGTTATTCTTTGAGGGTCCAAAAGCGTGGCCTTCCTTTCCCTTTAGCCCAACCCCAAACGATACCGAGCCGAAGCGATACATAAACACCATGGGGAGGCACAGATAGAATATGTGTTTTTGGGCCGGAAAACCTTCATCAGGCCACACTTTAATATATATATATAACAGAGAGAGATAGCAAGCATTGGATGGCTTATTTTTTGAGGGCACTTCAGTACACTCCAACAAGGGGTGGCCTTCCTTTCCCTTTGACCCGACCCAAAACGGTACCGAGCCCAAAATACAAATGAACACCATGGGGTGGCACAGTTAGAATATGTGTGTTTGGCAAAACTTCATCAGGTGATGAATCGTAGGCATAATGAAAGAAATAGAGATAGTAAATATTGTTTTGTTTATTCTTTGAGGGTCCAAAAGCGTGGCCTTCCTTTCCCTTTAGCCCAACCCCAAACGGTACCGAGCCCAAAATACAAATGAACACCATGGGGTGGCACTGTTAGAATATTTGTTTTTGGCAAAACTTCATCAGGTGATGAATCGTAGGCATAATGAAAGATATAGAGATAGTAAATATTGATTTGGTTATTCTTTGAGGGTCCAAAAGCGTGGCCTTCCTTTCCCTTTAGCCCAACCCCAAACGATACCGAGCCGAAGCTATACATAAACACCATGGGGCGGCACAGATAGAGGCGGAAAACCTTCATCAGGCCACACTTTAATACATACATATATATATATATATATAACAGAGAGAGATAGCAAGCATTGGATGGCTTATTTTTTAAGGGCACTTCAGTACACTCCAACAAGGGGTGGCCTTCCTTTCCCTTTGACCCGACCCCAAACGGTACCGAGCCCAAAATACAAATGAACACCATGGGTGGCACAGTTGGAATATGTGTTTTTGGCAAAACTTCATCAGGTGATGAATCGTAGGCATAATGAAAGATATAGAGATAGTAAATATTGTTTTGTTTATTCTTTGAGGGTCCAAAAGCGTGGCCTTCCTGTCCCTTTAGCCCAACCCCAAACGGTACCGAGCCGAAGCTATACATTGTACACCATCGGGGGGCACAGTTAGAATAGTTGCTTTTGGGCCGGGAACCTGCATTAGGCAATTAATCGTACGCACACATAAACCTATATATATAATATACATAGTAGATATGGATTTGCGTTTTTGAGGGTACCCCACTATTCTCCAAAAAGGGGTGGCCTTCCTTTCCCTTTAACCCAACCCCAAACGGTACCGAGCCCAAAATACAAATGACCACCATGGGGTGGCACAGCTAGAATATGTGTGTTTGGGCCAGGAAACCTTCATCATGCATTCAATCGTATGCAAATATATAAACATATACATATTATATATAGAGAAAGTAAATATGTGTTTGCTTGGTTTTTGAGGGTACCCCACTATGTCCCAACACGGGGTGGCATTCCTTTCCTTTTAACCCAACCCCAAACAGTACCGAGACCACACAAGAATAAATGAGACAGTTCGAGTAATCCCAAGTCTTGACATGCCTGTGCAAATCCTTGGAAGTGGAACAGACAAATAGAATAATCTGTGTCAGATACAAAGGCTGCGAGGTCTGGAAAATGACCTTTGAAAGGAGGTATTGGCAATACTAAGTTTAGTCCTGGCTCCAAAGGAAGTCGAGAAGTGCGTTATCAGAACAAGTTTATTTTGAAAATCTACGGCCCTTGCCGAATTATTCTATCTGATAAAAATACTAAATTTACTATTGGCAATACTAAAGTTAGTACTGGCAATACTAAATTGACTATTGCGGCAAAGCTACCCCCTCTGCTCGTAGCCAAAAAACCTTCCAGGATACGTTTTTAAATAAATAATTTTACAGTTCAAATCCTTGCTAAACTTTACTAGGCTTAGCATTGGCAATCCAAAGTCTATATTGGCAATGCTAAATTCAGTACCGGCAATAGCAAGAATGTCCTGCCAATACTAAATTTACTATTGGCAATGCTAAAATTAGTACTGACAATATACATGATCAAACTAGTACTGGCAATGCACAATTAAGTGCCGGCAATGCTAAAATTAGTCCTGGCTCGGAGGACCTGATTTTACCGCCCGCGTGCAACTCCAAAGTTTCTACCTTTGAGCTTTCCGTGAAAGCGTTCGAGCTTCCCCCCCCTCTAAGCTCATTTCTCACTAGCAATGCTTCATGGACATCTGAGACATCACCATCTGCTTTATTATTCACTTCTTCTTCCTTGACCCCATGCGTCTGCGCGGCTCGATGCCATCAAACGTTTCGACGCCATCAATTGGTGTGTGAAATTGCCTTGTGACCCAGCTTGCTGAAATATTCTGTGAAATATTCTGTCTGTCAAAACATATTCTATCTGAATTATTCTAAGTGTATGCTATCTGAATTATTCTAAGTGTCACTTGTGAACCTAAATATTCTAACTGATGTGTTGGGATATTTTCGGAGTAAAATATATTCTAAGTGAGGATCGGACGGAGTAACATATATTCTAAGTGCTAGCCCGATACTATAGGTGTTGTCAATTGGAGCCGTTCCTACCATGTGCGAAACATGAATCCACGAATTTGACCCTTCAAAAAAGACTTCGAGTGGACTGCGAGGAACTTACATCGGTCAGAGCCCAAGGGGGCTTGAAGCTGCCCATCCCAAACTTGCACGAAAAAACAATTAGAACCCCCCAAGCAATTAGCGTTCACAGAGAAGCAACTACAATAAATAAGGCCACCGAAGAGGACAAACTGCTGGACCCTAACCTGGGAGGGAGGCCCCTACCAAAATCCGTACACTCTCGACCTCAACTTCTATATGACATATTTTTCTGTCCAGCCTGTCCGCTGGGCCAAGTGCAATTGTCGGCACTCAGCAGCCCTGTGAGAATTGCCACATTCCAGTGACCCATGCCAGCTTGACTTGACCACATGTCATGGCATGCACCCCAAACGCATCAAGGAAGACATGCATCTGCTACGGCACTGCTAAAAAACAGGTGGAGACTTGGTGCTCTGCTGCGGTGTGAACTGCTCAAATGCCATAGCCAGCAATGCAAGCACTTTCCACCACCTTTGCAAGGTCTTACTCGCCATGTAACAATGCTCAAGCAAGGCCCATTTGTTTTTATCAAAGCATTGGAGTTGGCAAACGCCTGAGGGAAGGCAGATATGCCCCTGCGCGTGAGACAGCAGGTTCACCAAATTCAACTAATATTCACCCTAGGTGCAAACATTGGACACACACACACGCACGCACGCACGCATGCACGCACCCACACACATAGACACACAGACACACACAGACACAGACACAGACACACAGACACACAGAGACACACAGAGACACACAGAGACACACAGAGACACACAGAGACACACAGAGACACACAGAGACACACAGAGACACACAGAGACACACACAGAGACACAGACACAGAGACACACAGAGACACACAGAGACACACAGAGACACACAGAGACACACAGAGACACACAGAGACACACAGAGACACACAGAGACACACAGACACAGAGACACACAGAGACACAGAGACACAGAGACACACAGAGACACACAGAGACACACAGAGACACACAGAGACACACAGAGACACACAGAGACACACAGAGACACACAGAGACACACAGAGACACACAGAGACACACAGAGACACACAGAGACACACAGAGACACACACACAGAGACACACAGAGACACACAGAGACACACAGAGACACACAGAGACACACACACAGAGACACACAGAGACACACAGAGACACACAGAGACACACAGAGACACACAGAGACACACAGAGACACACAGAGACACACAGAGACACACAGAGACACACAGAGACACACAGAGACACACAGAGACACACAGAGACACAGAGACACACAGAGACACACAGAGACACACAGAGACACACAGAGACACACAGAGACACACAGAGACACACAGAGACACAGAGAGACACAGAGAGACAGACAGAGACACACAGAGACACAGAGAGACACACAGAAACACACAGAGACACACAAAGACACACAGAGACACACAGAGACACACAAAGACACACAGAGACACACACACACAAACACGCAAATGCACAACAGGGGGCAACACACACAGCGAGCAGGGGGCCGGAGGTCCCATTTCCCGCTTTTGGGCCAGGCGCTGCCAGAAACTGATTGCCCGGTGGAATGAAGGCGATCTCATAAGGAGTCACCAGTGCAGTGTAGACCAAGCATATCACCTCGGGAGAAGTTCGCTTCGGGAACGCATACGAATCCCGAGGTTGGGTTTTGGGCACATCTGCCCCGAAGGAGTACACATCAGTACACATCGAAATGTCCTCTTTACCAACGACATGCGTCTGGGCAACTCTTGCTTCTGCTACCGTTCGCAACCGGCAAACACTTTCCTGATTCACCACTTGCTTTGCTCGCCCCTTCCACGCCAATATGAGGGCACCACGGCGCTTTGGCAATCCCCAGCTGTTTGCTCAGCCTCGACCTACCGGTTGGAGAGCCGACGCCAAGGGGCGGCATCTTCACACAAAAGGCTAGGCCCAAAGCTGCCCTGATCATGACCCATGTCGTGAGCTTGTTTTTGAAAGGAAGAAGCCAAAGGGCCCTGTGAACCCGCAGGAATGTTCGTAGAAAGGTTCTTTCTTGGAGGGAAAGGGTCCCTATTTGATGTTGCTCCTTAGCAAAGCAAGCGTTTGGTGGAGGGCAGGGCAGTAGGCTAGCGTCGATGAGTTTGCGGCTGACTTACGACTACTGATTCCAGGGTTTGGGGTCGCGGGTTGCTTTGGCTTCCTTCCGGGATTCCACTCCCCGTGCCGAGCTGCTAGGATCAAATCCCAAAACTTCATGTACACCGAGTGAGGGTCAATGACCTCAGCGCGTGGGTCATGCAAAAGAAAGTGTCGGCACGCCTGCCGCATGCCTGTTGCAAATGCACAAGTCTTGCCGCGCGCGTTCACCCAGAATCAAAAACGTACATGCCACGCACGGATGCATGTGTGACCATCCATGCTGCGCCAGGGCAGAGCTACCCCTGCACCTTTGTGATCAGGTTTGGGACATGTGGATAGATAGGCAATTTATCTCTCACCACTGCACGGTAGAAGAACACAGTGCATGCTGGTCAGCAAGCCACAAGCTCAGGGCCATTGTGGGCACGAGCCTACAAACCTCACAGACTATATGGCTATATCAAGACACCGGCCTGGCCTTGATGTTTGTAGAAGCCAAACACCCTTGGAAACAGCACACTGGTCAATACACACGTTCACCGTCATTGCAGGACGCCAGCTCTAGGGCGGGCGTGCCTGTCAAGACTCATGCTGAACCCGCAGCAAACTGAAGAGCCTGGCTGCCAGTGTGCACCTGCTGGACATTCGGCCCAAGCTTGAACAAGCTTCTGAACATGGACCCGTGCCCTCTTCCGCGAATTTGGAGCTGGCGCAAACAAGTCCCCAAAGCAAAGCATGTGGTATGAGGCAAACCTCCAACGACATGTGTCTTTCCAACCTGTCTCAAACCTCCTGGACTCAAACAACGTGTTTGTTCGCTCCCCAGGCCGACCCCCAAAATGGGCTTCCCTTTGGCTTCTTAACCCAGCCCCAAAAAAAACAACAAACATTCCCAGGTGACTCCGACGTAATCCGATCGGCTTCCGCTTCCAAGGGGCGAGGACTCTCGCCTTCAAGGCTTCCCTCAAGAGCTCCACCTACGTCGGGGGTGCACCCCGACGAGAAAAAAGATGCCCCCAAATCCGACTTGGTTTCTGGGCGGTAAAAACATGGAGGATCGATGCCGATTTTAACCGCATCTCAGGAAAATGACTGCAAAACCTGTCAAACCCGACGCTGGGAAGGTGAATACACACCCAAATAGGGGTCTGAAACATTCAAGCAGTCACCCTGTTGCTTTCCTTTTTGGAAAGGTTGCAAATCATGTTGAACAGGGGGTCCGCAAACAGTGCATGTTTGTTAATTGTTCCTTCCTGGAAAGGCTGAAAGATACCTGGACCCTCCGGCGGCAGAACTTTCTGCCGAAAGGCCCCGGCGGCAGAAATTTCCGCCGAAAAACCCAAAAAACGCCGCCCGCGAGAAAAAACGCCGAAACGCAACAAACACTCCGACATGCTGAAACCTGCTTCCGCGAAATTCCGCCGATTTCCCGCCGAATTCCGCCGAATTCCCGCCGAATTCCGCCGATTTCCTGCTGCCTGTTTTGCACAGAACTTGATTTTGAAAAAAACGCTGCCAGGGAAACTAAAAACGCCGCCAACAGCAAAAAGGCGCCTTTTTCCAAAAAGGCAGAAACTTCTGCCGATTTGGGTGGTCCAGGTATGGACCGGCTGCCACCCGGTCGGAAAGCGCCGGCTGCCCTGCAGCTGGGCATCGGGAGTGAAGGCATTTGCTAGCGATGACTTGAAATAGGTTTGTCTCACCCAAAATAGGCAGTTTCCTTTTGGTTTCCCTTAGAAAAAGAGTTTCCGCCCAAAGAAAACACCCTGACATTATGTCCAACAGTCCCAGAGCTGGCACTTGCAAGTCAGTGTGCTGACCTGTGTTTCCGGGTTTGGGGCCGCCCACGTTCACGAGCGAAGCATTCTTGGTGTCAAGGGCGTGCGAACCACAGTAACTGCAGTGGTGCTAAGCACGTCGCACTCCGTGCGCGACCTGCCTGGTCGCCAACGGGCACTTCAGTCCACTGCTTGCCTGCAGGGAGAACAAATCATGACATGTGGCGCTGTTGGGGTGGCGTTGCCTTTAAGGGAGACGAAGTTCAGGAAGAGCCCCATACCCAAAGCATGACGGTGCTGGTGCACATTTCATAGCACGACTTCTGAAAAAAAAAAGAGTAAAAAGTAATCCTTCCCGGAGCCAGTGCCTGCAACGGCACTCTCGGAAAATATCAGCAACACTAGCTGCTCCGGAAGCAAGACCATCTTGTCAAAACCCGCTCAAGCAAATTCAGATACCCAGCAAGTTTCTGCCAGGCCGAGGGCCAAGCATAGGTGAAATGCCCACAGCGCACATGTTGCCAGTTGCGGATGAAACAAAACGCTGACCGAGTCCTTCTTGAAAAACCAAGAAAAACACACCGAAGCTCGACCACCCACCTGGGTATTTCTGGTGCGCGAGCTCGTTGAAGTTCTGAGTCGGGACACTTGCCAAAGACAAAGCAAATGCAACAATTCGAGCAACCGAGCACGACCAACAAACCAGCAACCAGGGAGGAGCCCCGTTGGCGATCCAATGAGACTGGCACTTGTGGGCGTGGTTGGCCGCAAGGGGACAATATGAGGAAGACATGTTGGTTGCAAGAGCACCAATCTGACAGGATCCCGTCCTTCCAACCCTGTTTCATTTAGCCCAATACGGCATAATCCATAGCCTTTTTCAAGGAAACCAGGAGGGGGAGTGGTATGGGAGGGGTGGTTGGAATCTGGTTAAATTGACCCAGCTCCAAGCAATGTCCAAGCACAGCATGAGCACGGTGGATGCAAGCCAGGCAGCGATGGTTCTCAGCGTCATCGTCTCAAAGATGGAGCCTGAGTCTGCAAACTGACGGGGTGCAAACAACAAATCCTAAAGGGCTTGAAGTAGAAAAACAGGGCCCCTGTGAAATTCGCACATCTGATTCCTGATTAATTTGCCAACGGGGCACTGGAGTGAACAGTACATATTTGCTTGTCCTGCCATCAAATGGTGACGCAGTCGTCGCGCAAGGATCACCTCAACCTTTTACGTGGTCCTCGCGCCTAATGAGTCAGATGAATTTGTTCCGTGATGACTGGCGGCTCCTAACACTGCAACTTGCCGAAGTCTCTGCAAGTCTCTCTGCAACAAGCTGAGTTGATAACCTGCCCTGGAGATGATGCACTCACACATGCATCGCCCAAAGTCACGTCCCACATCAGGCACCACAAACGCAAAACATGACAACAGTCTCGCACGCTCCTAGCTGCCACATGCTGAACGATTTAGATTCGGCATGTTCGCACTCAGAGGCAAACAACTATGCACAAGTAACAACACACCCACTTGTTCTGCAATCATTGTGCCCAGATACGCTTCCCAGAGCAGTTCCAAATGCTGACATGATCCATCAAATCAAACAATTGAAAATCACAACATCCACCGTACACCGAAGGGCACCGTTTCAGCATGAAACAAAATCCATGGCGATTTTCCTGAAATGACTTGCCGAGCATCATTTGCTGCATCCAATTGCGCTGCTTTCCTTCCTGGCAAAGGCGGTAAAATGGCCGGACACCCTGGCCCAATATTCAGAAGAGCCCTGGAAAATCCTGGAAATAAGATCGAGTTGAACGCCCCAAAGCTGGGTCATTTCGGCGCACACGGCGGTTTTTCCCGCACTACTGAATCCAACCAAGAGTATCTCCGCACCTCTTGCCCAGCTTCGGTCAGAAGGTTGTGTTACCGTAGCAAGGACGGCCTCTACATACTGTGCCATGCTTTCCACTAAAATAGGCAGCCCAGGCGTTTTCCAGGTGAAAAGTATTTGAAAAGGGTGCCAAGGGGACTGACACAAGGCCACAAGGCTTGTGAGTGCCTTTGACATGCCAAGGGACAACCCTGCAGCTCGGTCACACCCTTCTGGACCCAAAGATACATCACATCCGAACTCCCGTCTTGAAATCATGCACTGCTCGTCCTACCTAGCACAAATGCACAAAACCCAATCCTTCAAGGACGGTACCCCCCCCTCCTTCTACACAAAACAAAGGGAGAACAAGGATCAATTCACAACTTGCCATTCGCACCTTATATGTTCCAAACTACATTCAACTATGGGCATCTATCATTGATGAGGGTATGCTGACAAATTGTAACACGATGAGTCTAAGGTGAAGTGTCGGCCTCATTCCCGAGTGGTGTCATGCTACTGCCACAAAAATGGCAAACTGCTCACCTAAAGCGCCTTGAACTAAGGAAGCCAACCAATTGCGCCAATTCACTTGGCCCCCTCAATGGCATCTTCACTTCTGAGACTGGAGATGTGGAGGTGATGGGACCCCTATGATATACAACCTTTCACGCCTAAACGTGCACCTGAGATTTGAGCCACACCTGACAGTTCAAGCTTTCCGCATTGTGTTTCATGGGTGCTTCCAGGCCAGATTATGCTTGCTTGCCTATGAGTCTAGTTGCATGACGCGTATACCTGAGGTAAAGATTGGTAAAGAAAGTAGCGTGACTTGTTGAACTGTTGAATGACATAGTGGCAACTATTGTTTGCTGCCAAAAATGCAGGAAAACCAAGGCACAGAGTTCAACAGGAAGCTACGCCTAATGAACAAGGATAGCCTCAAAGACACGCCCAACTGCATGACAACTTGCGGCTCCTGGTGGGGTTGGCCTGCTGGTGTTCATCTTCCTGCACATGTATAAAGCGGCAACGCGACGAGGAAGCCAGCCCCTTGCTTGAACATGTTCACAGTTCAAACAACCTCTGTTTGGCTTTGTTTTAAATGGAGCGCCGGGGCTGCCTGCTTCAACCAGTTGCCCAAACCTGTGCATTGCTCTTTTTGCCCAGTCACCCTGACAAACAGTTTGACAGAAAAGGACGCCCGTTTTGAGACTGGGCATCTTTAGCTGGGAACGCACCAACCAAACATGAGAAAACGTGCGCCTGAACCAACGAGAAACTCACGAAGTCACCAAGAAAATCCAAGAATTAATGGATTTTGGTGACAAACTAACGGGGCAAAGCAAGAAACAAAGGAATGCGATGGAAAAGAAATAAGGATGAACTGACCAATTTCAGCCCAAGACCTCTTCAGAAGGTTGCTTTGTCTGGTTCCGTCGCTCGCAGGCAACCTCGAATGCCTCATAAACCAAACAAAGCGCATGGGATTTCTAAGCAGGACATGGGGAGGGGATATTTGAACCAGTCCAAGCCTCCAGGTGCACAACCAACAGTTCGCAACAAGATAAGCGAGCTAAGCAGCGCGCCTTGCAAACTAGCCAATCACATATCTCATTGTTTTTTCACTCGTGTTGACTGACAAGGGTCAATGCCTACCAGCGTCCTGGCAGGTGAAGCAGCACAAATATCTTCCCCTGCGGTACAACTTAGGTTGCATGCTTCGGGTGAAGGCTGCTTCAAAGGGAAAGCCATCAAAACCCGAGGTCAAACCCGACTTCGTGTGAGCCACTAGCCCGGGCAAAACTGCAATGCAGCAATCAAGGCCCCAGCGGGGGGAAAGCAATGATTTCGACCCATGTTGAGGCCTTCTTGATGAGGGGGTCTGGACAAATTGCAAAAAATGCCCCATCCCCTTGTGGCTTCCTGGCACATCAATTTCACCTGAGTTCCCCAAGAATCCTCGCCTGCTTCCTCTGCTCTTGCACCGCACGGAGGCCCACCGACTCATTGCCGTTGGCTGTTTTCCGGGATGCCCTGCGAAGATGGATCGGTCCAGCAAAACTCGGCCAACATCTGGGGCGCGCTGAACATATCTCAGTCCGTTTCATACCTAGCCTACCCTAAAGACCCAAAATGGTGTGGAGGAGAAAGACCGCAGAAAAGGGGGGAGGTCAAAGTTGTGAAAGGGGGCCTTGGCCGGCGGAAGGCCTGTTGAACCTATGTGCGGCTCTCCAGTCTGAACAGGGTCGCGAATCTCAAGTTGAGGCTTGCAGCGTGTACCAAAAAGTCAAGACTGCAAAGGCGTGCTGGCATGCTGGCATTGGGCTTGTCTGACTGACCTGGGTGCAGCACAATATGTTGCTAGATTGAGTCAAGGGATCCGAGAAAAAGGCTTCTTCACCCAACGTGTGTTGGCTCCAACTGTGCAAATGTGCACGCGGCGCCTGTGTCCTTTTTCCGAGGGCGCAATTTTGGGGTTGCTTGGAAGGGACACCAAATGTGTTTAGTTTCAGAGAGTTCCCATGGAGAGATGGCCCCTCTGCGGGACCCCAATGTCACTCCGAAGATGTGCCATTCATTTGGCAACCGAGCATCGCCTTAGGGATCCCGGGCTGTCCAGATTTCCAATGTTGTTTGGCTGCAGGATGTAACCACTTTGCCAAAAGCTGAGACGGACCTATTGCTGTATTGCAATCCCAGCACTGCGAGGAAGCAGCCACAATTGCCTCGTGAACACGGCGCTCATAAGATTCAAAACAGATTCTATCATGAAGTGGCTTAACCAATGCAAGCAACTCTGCGCTACATGCCTCAAGAGTAAAAACACGTCCCAAGCTTGCGGCGCTGACATGCAGACCATCACTTGCTCAACACCCGGCTGAAAATCGTCATCACACTGACCAGCCTCGAGCGGACCGACTGTGACCTGGGACGGGTGGCAACTTTACAAGTCCACAAGCAGAGACCGCAAACCGAAGGAATGTCAGACATACCAAGGTGCACCGAACCCCCAAAGCGGCAGCACCGGATATCATATGGAATTCAGGAACCACTCACTCTCTCTCTCTCTTGATAAGGAATCATACCACCAGGCCAGACACACTGATCAATTTGCTCAGGCCTTTGACAGTCTGACATCCCCTTGCCGCCAAGATCCGGCGCAGGTAAGCCGACCACGGCACATAGAAGCAGGTTCGACACGTAGTGACCCAAAAGGCTTGTGACTAACCGCGCGCAAGCCATTAATCGCTGCAGAAGTCAGCAAGATTCTCTTACTCACTGCCATGCGTGCGTGGTTTGTAGACTTTTGTAGACTTCCGGCTGTGCCCCTTGCCCACGCTGCAAACAGTTTGCTGTATGGCGGTCCCAATGTGAACCCCTCGCCCACTCCCTTCCAAACAAGCTGGCCTTGGCTCAATTGAGCCACTGTCACATTTACTTGTTTGCCAGGAGGACGTGGTTCCCCTGGACTTTTGAGTCACCCCGTCCTGGCCCAAATGGACCACAACTACCAGAACACTTTGAACAAACCGCCCATTCTTGTGCATATGCCCCTGCCTTTCCAGACCCCGCCCTCCTTGGCGCCCGCACCCCGTCCCCGGCTGCCCTAATGGCGATGTGAGAGACAGTGTGCCTGGCGCTGGCAGCGCAAACATGATTTGGGCATCGCACGTGAAGTCAAAATATGTCAAAATCGATCTGGACCATACGCATGTCTAGCTGGCTTGTAGTTTCCAAACACGCAGGCATTGCAATCACTACTACCTTGCTTTGCGTTATCTGACTTGCGTGCTTCTATCCGCATGGCTGCGGATTGAGGAGGAGAACGAGCAAGAGGAGGATAAAAGGCCAGAAATCAAGAAACCACTAAAGCACCAAACTAGGAAGCAACAAAAGCAAGGGGATAAAAAGGAGGCAGGAACGGAAGGAGAAAGGCAAGGAGGAAACAAGCAGGATGGAATGGAGATGCCAAATGTTTGCCACGGCCATGCGCGAACAAAACTCCCTGCCTGTCCGATTCATGGTTCACCGCTCCATGAGGAAGATCCTGGCAAAGGGCCTCGGAGCGGGGCTTGGCGGTCGCAACAAAACCTTGGCGAGTTACAATACTGTGGATGGACGAAATCCATTTCGCATCACC